GCATTTTTCCTGTTTGCCCTCCTTCTTCTTGTTCTTCCCTGCTGCTTGGGTATTCCTTTGCTGGCATTAGAACCTACTTCTTCAGGGTTCCAACACAGACTGGAGACCAGCTGAGCTATCTGGCTTTTGGATTGAACAGTGTTCAGATTCCTTAGCCTTTTCGTTGGGAGACAGCCACCATTGGACTAGCCAGACCACAGCCTGTAAGCCACTCTAATAAATCCCCCTTTGATATACACAATTCATCCTATCAGTTCTGTTTCTCTAGAGAACCCTGACTAATACAAAGAAGGTGTGGGGGGGGGTGCTGGAGAGATGGCTCATCGGTTAAGAGCACTGAGTGTTCTTCCAGAGGTCCTGAGTTCAATTCCCGGCAACCACATGGTGGCTCACAACCACCTTGAATGAGATCTGGTGCCCTCTGCTGGCATGCAGGCAGAAGACTGTATATGCAATAAAAGATAAATAAAAAAAGGTGTCAGTTTGTTACAGATGGTTGTGAGCTGCCATGTGGCTGCTGGAAATCAAATCCTGGGTCCACTAAAAGAGTAGACAATGCTCTTAACCACACTGAGCCATCTCTCCAGGCCCCATCTTTATGTGTATCTTACAATATTGAAAACCATCCTCTACATTGTCATCCCTTGCTGAAAGATGGTATATTAAAAACTGTTTCTCTTTCCTTAATATCTTATCATGACTTTCTGTCATCTATCCCAGGTTGGCCTCAAACTCTTGGTAATTCTCTTGCCTCCAGCTCCCAAGAGCTAACACAGAAGCTGTCGCACCTGGCTGGAACGGTCACAATTCTTTATGAATCGCAGGGACTTATCCTCAAGAGTGTTGTAAGAATGCATGAGAATCACAGAAGCGACTATACTCATTTCCTAAGTACTGGACTTAATCTTGGGGGTTCCTGTCTGTCTTGATGAGACTGAGGATACAGGGAGTCCCCTTGTCTATTAGAATTTCTAAAGCCCCTGTGGTTTCAGTAGAGCTAAAGATGGCATTAACCACCAAAGAGACACAACTCAGCCTCTGCTGAAAACTAATGCAAGACTTCTTGAAATCATGCTGCTTACCAGAAACAAGGCAGGATCTTCATTCCAATAAAAATGTTAGTGCTACCAGCATCTTCTGGCTTAAGGACATGCTGAAATATTCTGAACTCAAGGACTCTTTCATATTATTCCATTGTATAAATGTACCACATTTTCTTTATCCATTCCTCAGCTGAGGGGCATCTAGGCTCTTTCCAGGTTCTGGCTATTATGGAAAATGTGGCTATGAACATGACTGAGCAAGTATTCTTGTGGTATGATGGAGCATTCTTTGGGTATATCCCCAAAAGTGGTATTGCTAGGTCTTGAGGTAGATTGATTCCCAATTTTCTGAAAAACTGCCAAACTGATTTCCAAAGTGACTATACAAGTTTATACTCCCACCAGCAGTGGAGGAGTGTTCCCCTTACTCTACATCCTTTCCAATATAAGCTGTCATCAGTGATTTTGATCTTGGCCATTCTGACAGGTATAAGACAGAATCTCAGAGTCGTTTTGATTTGCATTTCCATGATGGTTGGGGCACTGAACAATCCTTGAATGTCTTTCGGCCATTTGAGATTCTTCTTTTGAGAGCTCTGTTTAGATCTTGTACCCCATTTTTTAATTGGATTATTTATCTTGATGTTTGTTTCTTGAGTTCTTTATTTTGGAGATCAGCCCTCTGTCAGATGTGGGGTTGATGAAGATATTTTCCTATTCTGTAGGCTGCTGCTTTGTTTTATTAAACATGTCCTTTGCCTTAAAGAAGCTTCTTGGTTTCAGGAGGTACCATTGTTGTTCAATGCCTGTGCCACTGGTGTTATATCTAGGAAGTGGTCTCCTCTGCCCATGTGTTCAAGGCTACTTCCCACTTTCTCTTCTATCAGGCTGTGCAACTGGATTTATGTTGAGGTCTTTGATTCATTTGGACTTGAGTTATGTGCTTGGGTATAGATATGGATCTATTTGCATTCTTCTACATGTTGACATCCAGTTATGCCAGCAGCATTTGTTAAAGATGCTTTCTTTTCCCATCATATAATTTTGAGTTCTTTGTCTCCTGTTTGTCATATCATTATTGCAGAGATATAGAAGACAATTGGACAAGATCACTGGCAGCAATCTTAAGAGGCATAGGGTCCATTTTGGAATCACTGGGATCCATCTTGGATCAGGGGTAATCTTGAAGTCATGAGGGTCATCATGCACTCATAGAAGCCATCTTAGAATCAAGGAGCATCGTTCAGCAGACAGTACATGCCTGTAACCCTAGTATTGGTGGTAGATAGCAAAAGCAAGCGGATCCTCAGAGCTCATTGGCCAGCCAATTTCACCAATTGATGAGCTGTAGATTTAGTGAAGAGAAAATGTCTCAAAAAATAAAGTGGGGATCAATTGAGGATACCCAATGTTAGCCTCTGGCTTCCACAAGCATATGCACACGTGTAAATGCACATGTGTACATGCACATACTCACACATAATATTCTTCTAGTCTGTGAACATGGAGTACCTTTGCCTTTTTTGTGTCTTTGGTTTCTTTGAGCTGTAGTTTTTCTTCATTATAGTTTGTTTGCCTTCTCAATTAAATTTACTATAGGTTTGGGGGTTATATCTATTTTTGTAACTCTTATTATTCTCTTGATTTTTCTACTAGTCTATTACTCATGTATAGATAAGCTAATTTGATAGGTAAATCTTATATTCTGAAACTTAACTTCTTTTCAGTCCTAACAGGTTTTTAGCTGTGTCATTGGTTTTTTTCTTCATGTAAGATCATGCTAGGCCCCCAGGACAGATCATCAGGTAAGGTGACTGCTGCCAAGCCTGAACAACTGAATTTGATTCTAGAACCTTTATGGCATGACCCAAACACTAAATGCTATGTATACACACACACACACACACACACACACACACACACACACACACGGTGGGGAGGATCTGGGAGGAATTGGAGGGGGAAAAACATAACCAGAATATACTACATTAAAAAAAATTGTCAGAAAAAAACTGTAAAGTTTAAAAATAGAAATTTAAAATTCATGCTATTTGCAAACAGAGATAGAGAGTCCTCTTTCTGTTGACCCAATACCACTCCTGGGCAGCACAGTAACATTGATCCTATTGATAGGGGTTCGGGTGAAACTGGTCCTGAGAATGTGAGCATCTGGTCCCACCCTTCATCTGCCAAATGATAGTCCCACCCCTCATCTGCCGAATGATAGTGTGGGCAGCAGGAGATGCCTTCCCCTGCCTCACTGCCTGTGGCAGGAAGGTGGGAGACCCGGTCCTGAGGTCATAAGAGCCCCTCACCACCTGCAGCACTCTGGAGAGTGGCCCCTGCACCTTGTCTGGACAAGACAGCAGAGCTGGCCCTGATGGTATAGGTGTGGGAAGAGTCAAACATGAGGGAATGAAAGCAAGAGAACCATCCCTGCCCCGTGCTCATCACTGCAAGGGGTGAACTAGCCATGGCAATGCAGGAGGGTTCACCCTGGTGGTGAAGATGGGGGAGAGCCAGCATGCTGACCAGCCCTGCAACTACCCAGACCCAAAACCAGGGTTATGAGTTGGCCCACCCCAACACCCACCCCATCTATAATCTGCTGGAGCACGTGAAAGGGCCGGTCTTTCAGAGCCAAAGGCGCAGGACCTCCATGACACAGGGCAACAACAGGATGTCGAAGAAGAGTCCCAGTGAGGGCTCAACGTCGCAGAAACCAGAGGCCTTGAACCAGCACAACGACTTTTTGCAATGAACACTTGCAAGTAAAGATACATGGATAAAAGGGCTTATTGTGGCCGGGCTTTGGTGGCAATGCCTTTAATCCCAGCACTGGGGGGTGGGGGGCAGAGGCAGGTGGATCCCTGCAAGTTCGAGACCAGCCTGGTCTACTGAGCAAGTTCCAGGACAGGCTCCAAAATAATACAGAGAAACCCTGTCTCGAAAAAACCAAAACAAAAGGGGCTTATTGTGTGATTCACTGTGTCACACTACAGCTTCCATGACAAGATTTTTTTCTCTTGAATTTTATTTTATTGGGGGGGGCATTGCAAAGGCAGAGGGCAGGGAGTGGGACTGAGATGCAAAATGTAAAAGTCACAAAGGATAAAGTTAAAAAAATTTTTTTAAAGGTTCTCTTTCTAGTTTGGGTGCTCCCTCTTTTCTTTCTCTTGCCTAATTCTCCAGGCTAGGCATTCCAGAACTATAAAAACAGCCAAAGTTCAAGCCCTTATCTTATTCTAGGTCTCAGAAGAGAGGCTTTCAACTTTTCTCATTGAATATGGCATTTCCTGAATTTATTACATAAGAAACTATGTTGAGGCGCATTCTTGCTATACCCGATTTTTAAAGTTCTTATTATCAGAGGATGCTAAATTTTGTCAAATACTTTTACCATATTTATTGAAATGATGATGGTTTTGTCCCACAGGTATGTTAATTCATGTGTCAAAACATTCTCAAACCCCTTAAGATAAATTCCATGTGACCACAGTGTGTAAGCCTTTTCTGACAAGCTATTCAATTCACTTTTGAGTAGTTTAAATTCTTATACATTTATTTTTGAGATAGTCATACATCTCCCAGGCTGGCCTCCAACTCACCATGTAGATGAGGACGGCCTTGACCTGATCTTCCTGCCTGCCAGCAAGTGCTGGAATTACAGGTCTGTGTCACCACGCCCAGCTCTAAAAGTATAGTGTATGCTGGCCTCCAGCCAGTGATCCTCATGTCTCATCCTCTTCATCGTTTGCCTACCAGGATGCACCACCATGGCCTGTACAAGTGCTCCCATGCTCTCACTGTTCATGATGAGACCCGCTGGCTCTGACAGCTAGCTCCTGCTGTCCTCTCAACACCAACAGCCCTCTTGTTCAGGTTCCTGGAAGTCAGGAAAGCATGCCAACAGAGTTATCAGCCTCTACATCCCAGAAAACATTCCACACAGCAGAGTTCAATTCCTGGGAATTAGCCCACATTTTATTATACAGTACATTCATGTAAGTTCTTGCATTTCCAAGGTAACCAGATCACATTCCGGTTAGCACTTCTGGCAATAAAATCATACAGTGACTCTGGCTTCAAAAACAAGGTGTGGTGGTGTGCAGGAATGTGTCTTCCCTTTAATGCTGCAGATGACAATTCACCACAAAGTAACATCTCCAAAACCCACGCCCGAGATCCAGTGTGAAGGCATATTACCTATGTTATAATTAAACCGTATGAGATATGAGAGAAACCAAACTATTTCAAAGATCTAAAATCCCCCACAATGCAATCTTTCTCTTCTAACTGCTGAGGGTCATGCAGCTTTGGTACACTGAAAAAAAGGGGGGGGGATGGAAAAATACAGGGTCATTTCACTTTAAAACATATGGCTTCTCAAGATACTTCTGGGGGAAAAAAATTAAATAACCTAATTTTTTTTTTTTACAAGGAGTAAGGGTTGGTAATTCAGGAAGCACCTAGAAAATTCTGCCAGTTGCTGATGGAAATTTAAACTGCAGGTATTTCACAGAAACAAAATGTGTATCACATGCAGAAATACCTCAAGTCCTGATGACATATTTCCATTTTGCTAAATGAACGCACTGTGGTTCACGTTCTGCTTTTGAACAGTTCAGGAAAATTCATCTGCAATACTGGCATCATTCACCTATACACCCAGCAGATCAAGAGACCAATTCTAAGTCAGGCTGGAGGAATTTCAGACTGTGAGAAAGCAGGTTACTATATCTGTTGGGTCTTTTTTAATAAACAGAGATCATCTGTAGTGGCAGTAACTCCGAACCCTGGGAGGCTGAGGCAGGAGGACTGCCACAAGTCTGAGGCCAGACTAGGCTGCAAAGAGAGTCCCAGTCCAGTAAGAACTGGGTAGCAAGACCCTGACTTAAAAAGAAGCTAAAAAATCAGCTGGGTGTGTTTACGGCAGTCAGAGACTGAGTCAAGAGGACTGCAACTTTTGAGGCCTGCCTGAGGGAGGGCTGGAAGGAGAAAAGAAAAAATTATAAAATGCTTTGGGTCCTGTCCTACATGGCTGGAATGGTAAGTTACTACTACAGACCGACCAAGTCCCCACACAGAAATCGCTGTCTGCTTAGAACTTCAATGTGCCTTCGTATTTGGATGCCCCCAACCCCTGCAGCATAATTAAACACGATTCCTACGAACTTCAGTCTTGCTCAGCTGCTAAGACCAGTGACTAACAGTGACAAACGGGCCTCTGCTGCCCGCTGCCAAGAAATGGGTAAAGCCTAAACTTAGCAGGCTACAATGTAATCAATACATGGGTGATCCTGAAAGAAACATCACCCGGTTCAAGAGGGAAAAAGTGATGGGAAAGGGAATATACAACAGTTCTCAGGAAAGCCGTGGATGCCTTTCGGAAAACCAAAGCCACTGGCTAAGATAGGGGTCAGGGGGGCGTTTCTGAAACCAGAGTGAGACTTGCACGAACTGCCTGTCAGTCAGTGCAGAGTAAAATGCAGAATGAAATGACATATAACCAAGGTTTACAGGGTATCTAGAAATACGTTTTATGATTTAAAAAAATTGCAACGCACTCCAAAAAAAATGTTTTTTTCTGATAATTCATGTACAACAGAAGGCACTGTTATCCGCATAAATCCACTGATTCTGCATGGCAAAAACCTGAGACGCATGCGCCGATGCCTAACTCTAACCCCTCCGCGTTCAGCCTTCCGAGCAGACGCTTTGTCCTTTCCCATCAATGACTCTGCTTTTCTTTAATCTCGTACATTATAGTAGCTGTTGAAAAATACATATTCCAGGTTAGAAGGAACAAGGGAAGGGCGAGCGAATCCACAGCTGCCTGGCACCGACGACACAGCCCCTTGTTTCCCTCTTGGCCCTCACGCATCCCGTGAAATACGCAGCAACGGTGATGATGGTCGGTGAGCGGTGGACGCGCCTTTCAGCTGTTGCTGGGCGCAACGCCAAAGTTAAACGCAGAGAAGACGTCCTTGTCCTCAAATGTGAAGCCTCCCTGCTATTGAACAAAGTGGGGGAGGGGAAACACAAAAGGGTGCTTAAGTCGAGAGTATAGAAGAAACCTTCAAGAGGCAGACTTTTATGAGAGTGGGCTGTTTTGTTTCCAGACAGGGTCTCATGTAGCCCAGATTAGCAGCTAACTTGCTATGTGACTGAGGATGGCCTTGAACTCCTGATGCCCCTGCCTCTGCAACCCAAGTGTTGGGATTATAGATGCCAATTCCCCTCCCGACCTTGTTGCCATGCCTGGCTCTTTTTTCTGGATTTACAACTTTGAAGGAATGTGATTCCTGGTATTAGTTGTACCACCTAATTGAATGCCAGCCTTTAACAAAACCATATTGACAAGCAGTTATGTTTACTGTGGAAAAAATGTTTGCTAACGTAAGTGAAATGTAAACACTTCTGGAGCTGGGAGCCAAGTGCTGCAGGCTCCACTCCACACGGGATGCTGACAAAATATGCATCACTCCCTACCCAAAACCGTGACACTGAAGAACAGTCCTCACCTAAAACTCCCATCTCCCACTGAAATACTTAGTAACCACAAAATCTTCCCCACTAATAACCCAGGAGTGAGCTCAGAATCTCAACATTAAACAATTTCTCTTTAGTAACAGCCGAAACTTGACAAATTGCCAACAAATATAAATGAGAACTTGCTGTGGTTTGGGTCATAAATGTTCCCTCAAGTCCACATGATGAACACTGGGTTCCCAGCCTCTGGCACTACTAGAGGTAGCAGAGCCTTGAAAAGTCCTCTTGGGAGGAAGTGAGGTTACTGGGTGTGTGCGTGTGTGCGCACACGTGCATGTATACACGTTTGCTGAGTGTATGCCACATGTGTGCGGGCATCCCAGAGGTCAGAAAAAGGCATCAGAAAAGGGAACTGGAGATACAGATAGTTGTGAGCCATCTGATGTGGGTGCTGGGAACCTAACATGGGTCCTCTACAAGAGTAGCAAGTGCTCTTAACTGCTCAGCTCCCTCTTGGACCCCACAGGGTGTGCTTTTAAGGGGATACTAGGAGGCCAGCCGCATTCTCTCTGCTGCTGCTGAGGTCCCTGGAAACAAGTCCAGTTCCTCCACCTCACACTCCTCCATGAGGCCCAAAATCAAGGGGACTGAACCAAGAGTCAAAATAATCCTCCCCCTCCTCCTCCACTTCCTCCTCCCCTGCCTCCTCCTAAGTTGATCTCCTTAAGTACCAAGTAACGTCAGTAGTAACCTGAGTAATGTGGCATTTCATTTTCAAGAATACAAGCTCTTTCTAAGATCCATAAGGTGCTTTTGGTCCCTCTGTGGTTAAGATGTTAGGTGGATACTGGGCTGACAAAAGTCTTTCTCAGCAAGACCTGTCCCAACCCTTACTTCTCCAAAACACGAGGAGGATGTGAGTGGGGGAAACACTAACACCTACCGGTGAAATGGTGTTGACAGAGATACCATTAAAAAGAGTCACCAAACTGGGCCTAGTGGTACAAGACCATGCCTATAATTCAGCTACTCAGAAGGTTGAGGCAGGAGGATCACAAGCCCAAAGATCATAAATTTGAGGCTAGACTAGCCAATTTAGTAACAACTCATTTTAAAAGAAAGGAAAAATCGGTAGGCATAGTGGCACACTCCTTAATTTGAGCCCTAGGGAGGGTTGAGGCAGTGAGTTTGAAGTTAGCTTGGACTACACAGTGAGTTCCAGGCCAGCTACAAAGTGAAACCCAATCGAGAGAGAGAGAGAGAGACAGAGAGAGAGAGAGAGAGAGAGAGAGAGAGAGAGAGAGAGAGAGAGAGAGAGAGAGAGAGAGACAGAGACAGAGAGAGAGAGACAGAGAGAGACAGAGAGAGACAGAGAGAGACAGAGAGAGACAGAGAGAGACAGAGAGAGACAGAGAGAGACAGAGAGAGACAGAGAGAGACAGAGAGAGACAGAGAGAGAGAGACTGGGGGAGTGGGAGGGACTAGGATCATAGCTCACTGGTAGATCATTTGCCCAGCATGTACGAAGCTCTGAGTTCAAACTCCAGCTTCTCAAAAAGGGAGAAAGAACAAGCACACAGCCCAGGAGACGTAGGACATACAGATGAAAATAGGAGGATTACATGCTCAGGCCAGCCTAGGAACATGGCCAAGGTCCTGTCTTAAAAGCAAAACAATGGGATTGCTCACTTTCATGAGGGGCCATTTTAAACGATCGAGTGACGCAGGTGGCGGCCCTGGGACAACTCACCTGCCATTGTCCTTCGGTGCTCTGCCACTGTGTACACCTCCTGAAGCTTTCTCTTCTGATCCTCACTGAGAGGTGCCACCAGCAGCTGATACCAGGCGGCATCCCGATTCTGCACAGCTGTGGCGTTTCACGGGGTTCGGAGAAGAAAAGTTTGAGAAAGCTAGTGACCATTATTATCCCAGGAAAAGCAAGTGACACTATCAGATCTCAATGAAGTTATTTCAGACAGTAAGAGACCGGGTGATGAAACTGATCCCAACAGGCAATCACTTACCCGACCGTGAGGAACTGCAAGGAACGTCCCCTTTACAAATCTGTGGTTTCCCTGATTCTGTCCTATCTATCTTCTTTTTCTGGAAGTTTTCTTATATATATTCCCTAGAATCCCAACAACGGGATACACCTGGGCTCACGTGTTACCGTCTTCCTGGAATCTTCCTAGTGTCTTCCATACCAAGCTCCTGTTTCTATGCTGAGGGCCCATATCTGCACCCTTGGGCAAAATCCTTCCCCTTTCTTCCTGGACTTTTCCAGCTAAATGCTTCAAACTTAACACGACTGAAACAAAGTTTAACATCTTCTTTCTAAATGTTTTCACTCTCCCATTTCTATCACAGCTCCAAACCCTTCCCATCTGTAGCCAGGCCCAGCCCACATCAAACTCTGCCTATCTCCTAAAGTCCTCTGCCTACACACTCTTCCCACCAAAGTCCATACTGTGCGCCTGGTCTAACAATCTCACATTGCCTGGGATCTTGAAGACCCACTCCACTCTGCACTGGGCAAAAAGGGCACCTATTCAAGGCACCCACGCTCAGTTCTATGCCATCCTTCCCAGGAGCTTGTCCCCAGACAGCTGTGCAACCCCTGCAGGGGAGCTTCTAAACTGTTGTGTGCGTTCAAGCTGCACTTGAGACCCAAGAGCTCCTGCGGTGGTCAGGGTGCACTCTGTGTCTAAAGATGACCATCTTGGAGCATACCTTCCTATCCCTATCTCCACAGCTGGCTTTCAGAGCACTCCTGTACTTGTGTCGGAACTAAATAATGGTGTGTGTTATATTGGCGTTGCCTGGTTGACAAAAGTAGTATACACACAGGAGAATTTTAAACATCTAATAGCAGAAATAAATGATAGCACAATCACAGAACTACTATTTAAATAACATAAAGCAAATAACAGGCATTAGTTAAGGGTTCTTAAGTGTCAGATTAATAATTTGCTAAGAATTTCATTGGCTTATTCTCTATTTTTATCCACAGGGAGCAAGTGAATGCATTGAATGTGTGTTGTTGACATGAGTACGGCTATGTCAAGGACACCAGGGCCTTGGCCCCTGGGGAGTAGCAAACTTCCCTGGATGAGGCTCAGAGAATGGCAAAGCTTTCCTTGGGTCCATGTGCAAATATTGACAGTGTGTGCAGAAAATGTCCACCCTGGCTCCTCCCAAAACTCCTGCCACCCAATGTTTACCGTGGTCTATAATAACCCCGCCCCCTGTTCAACTATATATAACAAACTCACTGAGCTTCAAGGGTATAGCAGCTTCTTAACTGGAGAGCCCAACCCACCTGACCCCAGCCTTTTCAGTGCCGTGTGTCTGTTACTCTTCACTCCCTTGCAGTGGCGTTACCCTCTGAGGTTTCCCATTCACGTCTCACTCTTGTATACATGCCTACTGCTCTTAGTCATTTGGCAAGGCCTTTGGACACATGCGGCTTTAAGGAATCCTACAACTTACAAGTGTTACTTTCTGTACAAAATCAGTGAAGTTAATGTAGAAAAGCATCCCTTCGTCGGGTCTTGCCTTCTGTTTCTTCCCATAGGGGATTTGGAATAATCAACAGGCTCACACAGCCCGCAGTGGTTAAGCACTGCGTGCCTGCACCACTTAACTTGCAATTGTAAAAGTGGCTGTTTGTGAGTTCGTGCAGGGGCGGACAGGCAGTGCAGCTCTGTGACAGGTGTCTCCCTCCCCGGGCCACCATGGTACCCAAGTGGAAGTGGAGTGGGCAAAGGCCGTGCCCAAGCGCTGCTCCACAAGGCTGTCAGCCAAGCCCATCCCCCTCCCAAGGTGGACAGGGAGCCGAAAAAGGCCCCATGCATGACGTCTGCCATTGGTCCCTGCCTCTCCCTTCTTGTGCACTACAGAGGGATATTTTTATCAACTATTTGTAAATTCAAGTGTTTTTTTTACCAGCTCTAGAAAAATTTTTAAAAGGTGGTGGAATCACATCTCATCCTATTCTTTAATGTGTAAATGATTTCTTTAAGAGGTTAAATCATTTGCTGGTTGTTTATTTCTTGGCACACCTAGAAAAATAGCAGGACCCTGAATCAGGAGAGGCTGTGACTGTCTTGGGGTCACCACAACACTCTGTAAAGGGAAGTGGTTTTATATCCTACAACACAAAGCATACTAAGTAGCAATTTGGAGTCTCAGGTCTGCATTTGTGTCTAGAAAATTTTCAGTTATATCTGGTCTTGTGTTTCTAGTAGAACCGTTTCCAAAAAAAAAAAAAAAAAAAAAAGCTATTGGTCCTTGCCCTGTCAGAACTGTGGCATCTCTGGTCCACTTTCCTAACAACTGTGATAATGTGCTGTGAAACATGGACATTTCGAGTGTGTGCTGTATGTGGCAGAAAACTGTGGGTCAGCTGGATGGAGCAGTGTGAGCATCTGAGTGTTATGTGAGGTCTTAGGAAAAGCTTGACATGTGTGAGGCTGGAACATGTTCAAACAGAAACGGCACACGGCTCTCCATCTGGAAACGTGAGCACAGTGTACAACTCTTCAGAGACTGGGTGCGTGTGTTAAGAACTGAAACTCTGCTCCCCAACCAATAAAATCTCAGTTGTGGAAGAGAAAAAGGCCATTCTGCCTGAGACCATACACAACATGTAGACGCTTGTGCCTACTGTAAAGATGCCTGGCAAGCCCATCCTGATGCTGCTACTACAGCAATGGGAGTCTAGGATGGCTTTTGAGTGTGCTGTTGTGCAAAAGACACAATTTCAGAGAATCTATGCCAATATGGGAGGAGATCCCAAAACAACTGCTAACAGGAAGAAATTAAAGGTGTTTAAACGAATCTTCAGGTGTGAGGAATGGAGGTGGGGGGGGGAGGCGAAGACATACTCAGTAGAGCTTGTGTAAAAAACTGGTACTCATCCACACTGTTGTCAAGGTCCAGTGGGGTGCTGAAGCCCTCGAGGGCTGTCTCCTCCAGCACCTCTTCCTCCCAGTCGTCCTCTTCTTCCTCGCCGCCTCTGCCATTGTGTGACTGCATAGCCTGAGCACTCACACTTGTCTGCTCCTCCTCCTCACTGGAAATCTCCTCTGCGGACCCATTAATCGTGCGAAAGAATGAAAAACAAGGATTATGAAATAATCTGGAAATGTGAAACCGCCACAGACTCCTAGTTTGTTGATAGGCTCTAAGTTTGTCTAAACCTTAAACATCCTGAAATTATAATTTTTGAAGACCAATTACCCAAGAACCACTTTATGAAACTCTTGTATTGACAGTGTACGCTTAATTTAGAGAGTCACTCAGTTAATGGTAGCTATTTTCACTGAGCTTGTCAGTATTAACAAAAAAGTGAGTCTTGAGTTGCTAATTCATAGTCAAGACCATCTGATTTTCTTACATTTATGCTTCTCAAGGCAAAACCCCATCAACTGGGCTCCACTTAGAAGTCACTGAGAGTTCTGGTATCAAGGGGCACAGATCTAAATGCACCCCACATGACAAAATGTGTAAGTCGAGCAAGTTCCAGTTTAAATGTGTCACAGGCCAAAGAAAGTCAGTCTGTTTAATGCTTCCAAACAGGCAAAAATGTAAAGAAAACGTGTGCACAAATCAAAATCTAAGTCAGAAATGATAGTGCAAGCATGAGTTTTAAAGATGAGTTTAAAGCTAGTCTGAGCTACAAAGCAAGACCTGTCTCAGAAAACAAAAAAAAGCATAGGCCAGTGAGATGGCTCAGTGAGCTAGGCGCTTGCCTCCAAGCCTGAAGATCTGAGTTCAATCCCCCAGGATCCATGTGATAGCAAAGAACCAACTCCCACAAGTTGTCCTCTGACTTCCACACGCATGTACACACAAACAAGTATAACTTTTTTTTTACATTTTTAAAGCAAAATCTGGGGCTGGAGAGATGGCTCAGTGTTTAAGAGCAGTGGCTGCTCTTGCAGAGCACGAGGGTTTGGTTCTCAGAACCCACATGGTGGCTCACAACAATCTGAATTCCAGTTCTAGGAGACTGAATGCCTTCTTCTGGCCCCTACAGGTACCAGGCACACATATGGTACACAAATGTGCAGACTGGCAAACACTCATGCACATAAAATAATAATTTAATTTCTATAATAAAAAATTAATGATAAGTTAATTTTAAAAAGCAAAGTCGACTACAGCGTAAGTAGCAGGCTTTACCATTCTCCTCCATGTCGGCTTTCTCCACTTTTGAGGGATCTTCGTGGTTTACCAGCTGCCGTGTAGCACAGACCTGCTTCAGGCCAAGGAACAGGAAGAGAATGGAAGGCAGGATCTGTGCAGCCACGGCGTCCACAGCAGGGGGTCGGTTCTGCAGTTCCAAGAGGATGCTCAGTCCTATGATACACATCTTCCGGTCATGGTGTCTGCAGGTGTTGGAAAACATGCAGATGTGGTCACAAAGGACAAACTCTAGAGCAGTGGTTCTCAACCTTCCTAGTGATGTGACCCTTTAACATACTTCCCTCATGTTGTGGTGACCCCAACTATTTTCATTGCTACTTCATAACGGCGATTTTCCTAAATGTTATGAATCATTATATAAATTATTTGGAGATAGAGGTTAGTCAAAGAGGTCAAGACCCACAGGTTGAGAACTGCTCTAGAAAAACTAAAGCAAGTGAAATCCCGTGTAAACCAATTCTATAAACAAACCAACCAACCAACACTTACCACAAAGACCTGTGAGGCTCATACCTACAACCGCATCTCTGAGGACACTGAGGCAGGGGTACTGTAAATTCAAGGTAAACCTGGACTATAGAGCAATTTCAAGGCCAGTCTAGGCTCTATAATAAAGACTTGGTTTCAGGAGGGAGGAGAAGGCTTATAGGAGTCTACAATTAGCATTTTGAATCTTGCAATAATACCACTTATGATTAATGAAAGAGCTGTATCTGAACATTAGCACAATGAGGTTTCTTCGAGATGAAATGTCTACTTGGCAGCGTAAGATTCCTTCACACTGGGGAAAATGAAGAGCTCGGCAGTCTGTGCTCTCTTGGCCTGGTCCTCAAGCTTTCTTGGCAGATATGGTCCATTCACACCAACCCCAGGTGCCAAACATACTTCAAAGAGTCAGCACCTAGCATATGGACCTGGCTGGCTACACTCACATCTACCATCAGCCTCTGCTGTAACAGAATAAGGATATTTTAATTTCAAAGGAAAAATGATTGGTTATTTTGTATCAGACATACTTTTCTATGAAATATTTCCTTTGTTTAAAAACATCAAAAATTAAAAGACAAAAGCTAGGGGGGGGAACCCAGTGTTAAGAATAACAGCTGTTCCTCTAGAGGACTTGAGATTGATTCCCGGCACCCATGAGTGGCTCATAACCACCTATAACACCAGCTCTGGGACAGCCAAGACTTCTTCTGGACCCTGAGGGTACCCAAACATGCATACACACATACACATGAATAAAAAATAATTCCTAAAGCCCAGTATTCAGAAGGTAGAGGCAGGAGGATCAAGTATTCAAGGCCAGCCTAGGCACATGAAATATGTCTTGAAAACATATAAAATTTAAAACAGCTATATTATACTATATACTATACAATGTATCTTTCCATCAGGTGATACTTCAAAACATATTCCTAACTTTCTGGATTAAAGCCATGGATCAGCAGGTAAAGGCGCTGGACCCACATGGTTTAAGAACAGAACTGACCCCTGAAAGTCGTGCTCAGACATTCCTCTACACACGTGCCATGACACAATTGTGCCCACACACACACACACTGGCACAGATACAGAATAAATAATACTCTTAATTTTCAAAAATTTAAATTATAATACACCAAAAATAGTCCCCAAGATATAAAGGTTACCTCCCAACGCATCACTGTATTAAAAACTAAACTTCCAGAAACATCGAAGCAATGCTAAACCAAAAAGGCACATACCCAAGGAAGTAATCAGTGTCGTTCATCCACTGGTTTATGAACTGCGAGGTGACAGGTCCTGGGTTGTGTGGCAGCTGGACCTGCTCCAGGGTGTGGAGCAGCAGCTGAGGGTTGTAGTAAAGAGCAGCGATCGCCACCTGAAGACACATTGTGCGCAGCTCACTGGTCTTGACCCCACGCGTCAACCTCTCCAAGACAAGTTGAACAAACAGCGGGATACACTGGAGGATGGGAGGGGAGGCAAGAGTCACCCACACGCTGCAGCCAAGAGACTTCCTGAAGGCTGATGCTGGCTGTGTCACCAATAAATGTGTCTTTGTGACAGTTAAGTGTTTGCTTATTTCAAGCGTGTGTAGGAGATGCTTAAAGACCTACACTCCCATCAAACTCAGGGAGACCCAGAGACTAAGTAGACAAACAGTGGTAGTCTAAGAAGGCTCATCGCCTTTTATGTCCGTGCTGGAGCCAGCAGGAGATTCTTTGTGAGCTCCTCCTCCAAAAGAGCTCGCCCACTCAGCCACAAAGAGAACTGATGTTGATTTGGAAATAAATGAGCAAGACTATGACGTGACCCATTTGTTTCTTGAAAGACAAAATCCTGCTGTTACACATGAGAGTTCAAAAATGCTGGAGAAAACAAAACAACTGTGGACTTCAAGTCCTCTGACTGCAATGCTAACTCCAGCATTTATTTCTCATTTAGATACTTAGTGTCCTTGAATTGGATAGGATTGGATCACACATGTCTGGCATCGTTTACATTAAAAAAAAATCACCAGCTGCCAGGCGTTGGTGGCGTACCCCTTTAATTTCAGCACTCGGGAGGCAGAGGCAAACGAATCTCTGTGAGTTCGAGGCCAGCCTGGTCTACAAGATATAGTCCCAGGACAGCCTCCAAAGCCACAGAAAAACCCTGCCTCAACACTCCTCCCCCCCCCAAAAAAAAATCACCAGCCATGGTACAATAATTAGTTAAAAATCAGTAAAAATTACAAGGAAAGATTAACTTTGCACACCATCTGTGGCAGGACATGCCTTTAATCCCAGCACTGGGAAGGCAGAGGCAGATGGACCTCTGAGTTGAGGCCAGCCTGGTCTACAGGAAAAGTTTTAGGACAGCCAGGGTTACACAACAATGGAATCTGCTGACTTTTGTTTGGCCCGTTTTCCCCTAGACTCGACCCTAGAAATCTTTTCGTTTTATGGGCAACTATAACCACCTGTAGGCCGTAAATGTGGGTGGCATGACTCAGCTGCCCACTGGCCTCCTTACCTAGGGAAGTTCTGAAAGCAAACCTTAGTGCTTGCCCTTTCCTGGCTCTCCCCTCTAATGCCTTCTGTTTTCTGATGCTTCCTATGCAACCTCCTGCTATAAAACCTGCTCTTTCCTTCCCGCTGCTTTCCTCATAACTTCACCAGCCACAGCCTCTCTGCTCATCTGCAGGAGACCCATTCATTGGCAGCACACTCAGCAACCAAAACCCTGGCCTCTCATCTTGTCGTTTCTCTGCTCAAGGGTTCTCTGAACAGAATTCGGCACACATGGTTTTTACTTTGCAGGCCACAAACGATCTCCATTTCACATGCGCCTGCTTGTACTCTGTTGCTGTTACCATTGCCATGAATGTTTCTGAGTCATTTTTTTTTCTATCATTCAACTAGGACTTGTACCAGCAAGCACAAACTATGGCTGTCTTCTTACTTTTCCATCAAATATAAGTAGACTATCAATCAGGCATGGACATTTTTTTACGTAAGTATCTAGGAAGAGGCTTTTTTTTAATATGCGTCACCTGATCAATTCCCCTTCCTTTGCACTGAAGGATGATGATTTCCAGGAGTTTGGCAGCGTGGCACTCGGCGTCCTCTCCCGCCTCTCCACACAGTACCTAGAGTGACAAGTTAGCTCAGCATGAGTGCCAGAGGAAGCAAACCCCTATGAATTCAGTCATTGAAATAAAAAGTTTTGTTGGTTTTTTGAGACAGGATCTCTATGTAGTCCTGGCTAGCCTAGAACACGCTCTGTGAACTGCCTGGCAACAGGTTTGGAGAACTCCAGATGCGTCTGCCTTTCCAATGCTGGGATTAAAGTCCCGTGCCATCAGCCAGCAGAGATCACTGCTTTTAGAAAAGCAACTGCCAGCCAGGCAGGTGTGGTGGTGCACACCTGTAAACCCAGCACTGGAAGGCAGAGACAGGCAGGTCTCTCGGAGCCCAAAGCCTGTCTGATCTTTGCAAAAAGCTAAGGAAACAAGAAATACCCAGTAACTTACAAATGGGCTGTGGAGCCACACACATGAGTTCAAACGTGACTCCAACACAAGAGCTCTGAAACCTGGAACAATTTGCTAAGCAGCAGGCCCCGTGATAAAAGTAGAGCTCTCAAACGTCTTTAAATAAGGTCAAACAAGCTCAGAATGGTTGCTAAGCAAGAGATACTTTCTTCAAAGGTACAGACATTGACAAGATGCCAGTGCTCCATAAACAGCCCTAAGGAAACTGTTTGGGTCACAAAAAGGGGGAGCACGGCATGAACACTCATGGAACGGGGGCTGGGGACGGACACAGGACACTAGTTTAGGGGAGAAGGAATCACTGGGAGTTAGAGCCAGGAAAGAGAGGGCAATCATGAGTAAATATTATTGGCATATATAAGTACATGTATAAAAATAATGTTATAATGAAATATACTATGTAAAATTAATACATGTTAACAAAACATTTTAAAGAGTCTGATATAGTGCCACATGTCTTTAATTCTAGCATTCAGGAGGCAGAGGCAAGTGGATCTCTGTTAGTTCTAAACTAATCTGGTAAACAAAGTGAGTTCCGGGCCAGCCAGAGCTTCCCAGTTAAACCCTTTCTCAAACAGAATACTGGGGGATGGGAGGACATAGAGAGATGTCTCTGTAGTTAAGAACACTGGCAGAGGGCCAGAATTTGTTTCCCAGAACCCACACTGTGAGGCTCATGACCACCTGTAACACCAGTTCCAGGGAATCTGACACTTTCTACTGGCTTCCTTGAGCAATACACATGCGCGCACACACACATACACACATACACATACACACACACACACACACACACACGCACGCACAGGCACGCACACACACACACAAACACACACACATACACTTACCTGAATTAGGTAACATGACCTAGTCATCAAAAAATCTTCAGATATAACCAATAGATGATTAAGATAACATAATGGACAATCATGTCAGTGCATAAATACATCAAAAGAATCATCACATAGTGAACAAAGTATTGCTCCTGTAACTTTCATCATTGTTTTATGTTGCTTATGCTCAAATTACCCATATCTAGGTACATCAGTGGCTTCCAATACACGATTAATTAAAAGAGACCGATACCATTCTGTCACAGACTGGCAAGCTGTACGGTTAGTTTTCCCAGCACTTTAGTTAGTAACGAGCTCATGTTTTTAAATTCTCTTCTTAATTTTATCTGTGTAAGGGTCTTGCTTCCACGTATATATGTGTATCATGTACATGTACAGAGGCCAGAAAAGGGTATCCAAAACCCCTGGACCTGGAGTCACGGATGGCTGTGAGCCACCACGTGGGAGCTGAGAACTGAACCCGAGTCCTCTGCAAGAGCAACAAGTGCTCTTAACCACTGAGCCACCTCTCCAGCATCCATTAAGTATTTTCAAAAGAAAAAAAAGGAAAGAGAGCTGGCCCTTCTATATGCATAGATTCTCTGTCCAAAGATTCAACCAACCACAAGCCAGATATTTTCTTAAAACTTGGATCTACACTAAATGTGTGCAGATTCTTTTTCCTGTCTCTACCTCTGATCCACACGGTTTAACAGCTACTTAGACACCACTATATTGCATTGGATATTATTATGAAAGTGGGTTGTGTGCATGGTGAGATGTACGGTGGCTATGAGCAAAGACCATACTTGTTAGTTATGAGACTGGAGGGTTCATGGGGTCTGATATCCACAGGGGTCCTGGAAGGGTCTCCATGGATACAGAGAGATGGCTGTATTTACTTAAAAATGTCAAAGTACGGGGCTGGAGAGATGGCTCAGAGGTTGAGAGCACTGGTTGCTCTTCCAAAGGTCCTGAGTTCAAGTCCCAGAAACTACATAGTAGCTCACAATGACATCTGGTCCCTCTTCCAGCATGCAGACAGACATGTAAGCATAACAAATGCATCTTTTTAAAAATTTTCAAAGTACATAGTTATTGAAGTGACATAAGTACAACACATACTGTGAAACTTTAAAATTACAACAATCACAAACTCACTTTTAAAATGAAATTGGTAAATCTGTTCAGGTAAAGTAATATAAACCAGACGCCCAAACATTACGGAGAATCACATGACAACTGACAGGGTGCACTTACCTTCCTGCACATAGTGAACAAGACTTCTAAGTGCTTCGGATTTGACAGCAACGTGTTGGTGTCTACTGTCACATAATTATGCAGGAGAGGCATCATGTCTGGGGGAAAGATGCAGAATCCCACTGAGACTTGTGCAACGGGAGCAGAAGTGCATGATTACCACTGGGACCAAATTTCTATAGCAATCAAATACTGTCTCCCTTAGCAGCCACCAACCAAAGAGGACATGATATACCCACTCCGTTTACAACTGAAGGGAATGCAGATGAGGAAGATTAAAATGCTCACTGTTTATCAAAACAACACTTCTGACCTTCCCATCCCTCTCTCTCACTGTACTCAGCACCACCTGGCACACAGTCAAGGCTCTCATTGGTTGGCGTTAGTACCTGACACGCTGCCAAGACTCTCATTGGTTGGCGTTAGTACCTGACACGCTGCCAAGACTCTCATTGGTTGGCGTTAGTACCTGACACACTGCCAAGGCTCTCATTGGTTGACTTTAGTACCTGACACACTGCCAAGGCTCTCATTGGTTGGATTTAGTACACCCCACCCCCCCTCACCAGGATGAAAACTATAGAAGGGCTGCAGCTGTCCCCTGCTGGATTGCTGGGCTGACAACAGTGCTTAGGGCATAGCTGTGCTCAGAAAATATTTACTCAATTAACACATGAACACACACTCTGTGTTACAAACTAACATAAAGGAGGCAAACAGCCCACTTCCTTTCCCTGTCTAAGGGCTGAAACACTGCTACAACTGCTGCCCCCATTTGCTGCACAGTAAAATGAAAACATCTGATTAGGACGGGATCATCAAGGGTTAAGGGAAGGGTGTCCAGGAAGAAAGAAAAACTGTAGTATGATCGGTTTTGCATGCCTGTGAAGTACTCGAAGCAATCCTGCTGGAAAACTTCATATAAAATGCCCAGGAGATGCCACATCTGAGGGGAGATGGCATGGCAGGTTAAACTGTAGGCCAGGGAAAGGATTTCCTCATAGAATTCTAGAAGGAAAAAAAAAAACCTTTAGTTAGAATGTGAGGGAACAGAAAGATTAAAGGGACCACACAGAGGACTCAAACACATCCCTTCTGTGTGCCACAAGCTTCCCCCAACACTTTCCTCGGTGGCATCAGCCAGAGAGGCTGCCTTCAACTCTAAGACTCTAACTCTAGTCAATAACACAAGGCAACAATATACTCATAGTACTGAAAACAACTTAAAATTGCTATTTTGGGCCACGTGCATGGCACTGGCCTTTAATTCTAGCACTCTGCAGGCAGATTTCTAAGCTCAAGGTCAGCCTGGTATACATAGCAAGTTCCAGGCAAAGTCAAGGGCAGCATAGTGAAATCTTATAGAGAAAAAAAAAAAATCAAATTTCAGCCAGGCATAGAGGTACACACCTTTAATCCCAGCACTCAGGAGGCAGAGGCAGGTGGATCTCTGGAGGTCAGCCTGGTCTACAGAGTGAGTTCCAGGACAGCCAGAGCTATATAGTGAGACCCTGTCTCAAAAAAACAAACAACAATAACAAAAAAATCAAATTTATATTTTATAACAGAAAATAGAATTTCTATCTATAAGTTTATATTGTAAACGTATAGGAGAACTATATTAGCATACCTCTATCATGTAGATTTAAAATGTATAAACTATTAGTAATATCTTTGGAAAGCTTAATGATACAGAGATAATATATATTATATCTCATTTATAGTTTTACCAACTATAAAAGACATAACATTTTCTTCAAGTTATACAACTTATAGTTCGAGCAGTATTCTTTAATTTCCTTCACAATACTTTATACCCATTATAAATAAAGAGGTCCAAAGAAATGTTCCTTATTCATACAACTATCACTACTCTTGGGCAAAAGAAAACCATGCTTTTAGTCCCAGCACTCGGGAGGCAGAGACAGATGAATCTCTATGAGTTCAAGGCCAGTCTGGTCTACAGAGTGAGTTCCAGGGCAGACTCCAAAGCTACAGAGAAACCCTGTCTCGAAAAACCAAAAAAATAAATAAAATAAAATAAAAAATAAAGGAAACCATATCTAAATATCCCACCAGAAAACATGTAACTCTTATCTCTGAGCAAAGACATCTAACTTCTAAGCTCTGTCTTTTCTCATGAAAGAAGTTAATACCTTGGAAACTCAAAGCTCTTTTGCTAATTCATACGTCAGGTGAAACACTTGTCTAGTTTTGAATGCTTTACAGGTCCCAGATAATCTTCATCCCAGCCCCTACTCCTCCCCCACCCTTCTTTCCCTCTCCCTCTCTCCCTCTGACACTTTTTTTCCTCTGCCCCTCCACACTAGGGTCTCAAGTAGCCCAGGCTGGCCTCAAAGTCACTACGTAGCCAACTTCTGATCTTCCTTCTTCCACCTCCTGAGAAGTGCTGAGAATTCAGGCATGTCCTATCCGCGTCGGTACATGTTAGTGCTGGGAACAAATCCCAGGGCTTCCTGCCAGCCAGGCAAGCACTCCACCAACTGGCATGCCAACCTCAGCCCAGTTCTGCTTGAGATACAGGTATTATTATTACATTCCCCATCCTTTAAATTTCCTAAAACCAGAAATTCTTCTCTGGACACAGTAAGAGTTCACCCCTGAAAGAAAATATACCTAGCTAATATCAGAAAGCTGAGACTCAAGTTTAAGGAAAGCAAGCTCACCTCTCTCAAAACTGTGTAGTTCACTAAGTTTAAAGAGCTACAAAAAAATGTACTTTTGAGCTCATCAAATCGAAAAAGAAATCTCAGTTTACCTTTTATCTGAACTTACCAATGACATGCTTCTGTAAAACAAGATCGATGATTCTCAGGCAGATGTTCTCCAACTGCTGTGTGATCTAAAGACAAATTAAAAAGTCTAAATTTCACTGTGACAATTCTAAGGTTATCATATAAATTAATATTATCCCAATGAAATAGCTATAGATATTTCTGAGAGGAGAAGTTGCAATCTTCATGTGAAAATTAAATATGCAAAAATACAAGAAAATTAAAAAAAAAAAAAGCTGGGCATTGGTGGAACACGCCTTTAATCCCAGCACTCAGGAGGCAGAGGGTGGATCTCTGTGAGTTCAAGGCCAGCCTTGTCTACAGAGCGAGTTCCAGGACAGCCTCCAAAAACAATACAGAGAAACCCTGTCTCGAAAAAACAAAAAACAAAAAACAAAAAACAAAAAACAAAAAAAAAAACAAGAAAATTCTGATAGGAAGGGAAGTTAAATCCATGGAAAATTAGAATTAGATGCTTCCTTAGCTCATATTCTACACTAAATGAATTTCTAATGGATCAATGATTTCTATGTTAAAAAAAAAAACTTTAACACAAAAATACCAGAAAAAGTAAAAGAATCTTCTGTAACCATAAGGAAGTAAAGAAAGTCACAACCAAATTAAGAAACTACCTGACTGCAAAATTGTCAAGAACTTGTGTACAAGGGCAGGGACAGATCAAGACAGATGGCAAACGGACTGAAATATCGTCAAGTGGTATCACAAACAACATCAAATTCCCCTTACACAAGTAATCTAACAATCTGACAGAAAAACAACTAAACCTATTTTTTTTAAAAAAAAAAAAGCACCTCAGGTTCATAAAGAGATGGTCACTCTCGCACATGACTGGGTATGACTCTGAGGCTGTGTAGGAAGAGAGATGCTCTGATCTCGGGATTACACGCCCGCATGTAACCTCAGCCAACAACACCTCCTCAAGAAATTCACCCACAGACACTTCTCACTCTAGCTACCGGACATGGATAAATCCATTCAGTACAACAATACCTGTGACTGCAACAACCAAAAATTCATTTAACAGAGAATGTCAGTGTCCGTGTGATCCGCTTACAAGAGAACACTATTAAAACTATATGCTTCTTGACTGACATGGAAGAATCACAGGATACATTTAAAACAACTGTACAATGTTATGCAGCTCTACCTTCTGCTGTCTTCATCAGGTCAGCTGTGACTGCCTACAAGAGTCGAGAGTCGTCAGGGGCAGGCCTGTCAGCTACTGACATTCCTCATTCAAGGAGGGTATGGGGAGAATCACTGGACCCAAACTTGAGGCTCCTCCCAGTCATATATATTCAATTCTGCCCTAAATGCACATGGCTTTGGGGTCTTAGGGACGGGCTAAAGTATACACGCTGAAGAAGGGGGAGGGGTAATTGAAGAGGACCTCCCTTGGTGAGGAAGCCAACATCCATGCTGTTTGAAGACATTCCAGTGCAGCTACTTGGGGTTCACCTACGATTTTAATGAGTCTTTCTCTGTCTTACCAGTTCCCAAATAATGTCTCGAGAGACTTCTTGTTAACTATGAAAGTTTGGCCTATAGCTTCGGGTTGTTCCTAACTAGTTCTTACAACTTAAATTAACCCATTTATATTAATCTGCGTTCTGTCTTGTGGCTCATGACTGTTACCTCTCCTCCTGCACATCCTGCTTGTTCTGCATCTCCTGGAGTCTCCACCTCTCTTTTTCCCAGAGTACTCTCTGTCCCCAGAAGTCCTGCCTAACTTCTTCCTGCCTAGCTATTGGCCATTCAACTCTTTATTAAACCCAATCACAATGATACATCTTAATACACAGTGTAGAAGCACAACATACGATCTAAGCTCAATAAACTCAATGATTCTCCAGGGTGACTGTGGTAGAACCAAACTCTGATTTATCACTGGGATTGAGGGAGGTGGATGCTGTTCACTCTCCTCCCCCAGGGTAGGAATTTTAGCAAAAGACATCATCATCTTTTTGAAAGACACATACATGCACTCACTTTTTACTAGTGTAACAAAAAAAAAATCTAAGTAAGATTTAAAAAAATAAATACAGCTGATAAAAACTACCACTCTGAGAAGAGAACTTGGTATATGGAAGAACTGAGTAAGCAGTAAGTTTAACTAAATACCTTTCCATGACTTCAATTATTCAATATTCAACACATACATATACCCACCCCCAGACAGACTCTCATTGTATAGACTGGCTGACCTAGAACTCACTATTTACATAGTTGATCTACTACAGTAGATCAGGTTGGCATCAAATTCAGAGATACACTTTCCTGCCTTGCCTACAGAGACTAACTGCCGTATCAGATTCTTTTTTGCCCCAAGACAGGGTCTCACTATGCATCTCTAGCTGTTCCTGGAACTCACTCTGTAGACCAGGCTGGCCTTGAACTCACAGAGATCTGCCTGCCTCAGCCTCCTAAGTGCTGGAATTAAAGTTGTACAACAGTATTCCTGGCTTTTGTATCAGGTATTTTTTAAATGAATAAAATTTAAAGTCAGTGGTGAGATACACTTTCATGTAAATGTATAATCCAACCTTAGAACATATTCTAATGCTCAATTTTAATTTTATTTTGGGTATTTTTTTATTTAAATGAAATAATAATTTGTAGGTACAGTTTGATAACTTGATAGATGTTAAACTATTATTTTGAAGTTCAAATGATCCAAAAACTAGACTCTACCGATATCCTTAAAACATCAGATACAGGGGCTGGAGAGATGGCTCAGAGGTTAAGAGCACTGACTGTTCCTCCAGAGGACCTGAGTTCAATTCCCAGCAACCACATGGTGGCTCACAACCACCTTGAATGAGATCTGGTGCCCTCCGCTGGTTTTACGAGACAGGGTTTCTCTGTATTGTTTTGGAGGCTGTCGGTCCAGCCCGGCCTCGAACTCACAGAGATCCGCCTGCCTCTGCGTCCCGAATGCTGGGATTAAAGGCGTGCGCCACCACCACCTGGCACTCCTTCCCATTCTTTCTGTACCTCTTGCATCACAACACTTCTCCTTCACTAAAACCTGCCACTGTAGCTGAAATCCCCACCCTTCCCCACTAAGATCAGACTATGGGTTCCTAGAAGGCAAGTCCCTTTTTCTACTGAATCTGGAAGTCACAGAAACCCAGCCTGGCACACAGCAGATATGATGACCTGGACTGAGATTAATACAAAGGCTTCTGCTGTTTACTTTCAATAAATGTGTAACTTCCCTCCTCAATCATCTTAACACATGACTTTAAAGTATGAGAGAAATTCAGTTTATTTGTCTGTGTGTTTGGAGAAAGGATTTCACTACCTAGCCCAGGTCATGGACTTGAAATCTTCCTGCACAAGTGCTGAAGCGAGAACAATTTTTAAAATTTACCAATATAACTAAACGTAAACCTTTAGTGCCAAAACTTGAGGCTGGTGAGTTGGCTCAGGAGGCAGAATCACTGGCCACAGTGCTGGAGGGATAGCTCAGTGGTTAAGGATACTTGCTGCCTTTCCAGAGGACCTGGTTCGTATTCCAGCACCCATGTGAGATGGCCCACAACTGCCTGTAACTCCAACTCCAGGAAATCCGATGCCCTCTTCTGGCCTCTAAGGGCACTCACACACAGGTGCACATACAGTCAGTATACACACAACAAATGCATAAATTTAAAAAATTAAAGGGGAAAAAATAATTTGCCACAAAAGCCTGGCTACTTGAGTTCAGTACCCCAAACCCACAATGGAAAAAGAAAACAGACTCCCAAGAGTTGTCCTCTGACTTCCATACACATGCCACGGTGAGCGCACACACACACACACACACACACCCCAAACTAAAAAGTAAAGAATTTATAACCACTGGTCACATAAATTTCAGTTAATATAACCATATAATGAAACACATGGGATCCTACCTCTTGATGGTCTTCCACAACTGTTAAGATAGTGTCGATAGTATGTAAAATTCCCATAGCCATCACAGTTTTGTCTTCGACTTCTTCGTACTCATCACTTTGAAGAACTTTACCAAATATCTCAGCCTGTAAAAATGACATTAGAACACTCACTGGCTGGTACCATTGCACCATAGCGGAGGGGCAGTGCTGCACACTCAGAAGCTAGCATTTTTCAGACACTAAGTTCTACACTTTGTAGACCTTTTCTCTTGCAATGACAGATCGTGTCACACTTATATGAACATCCTTCTGCGTTTCATTATAGTCACTGACATGAGACACATACTAGCTATTGTAACCATTGACTAATATTTATTTAACTTCTAGTTATCTTTAGACAAAATCGAAATCTAGAAACACTGGAAACAAGTGTTTCTAAAAGAAAAGATGTCACAAAAAATTTAGAAGATGAAATCATAGCTCACTCAGAGATTAAACAAAGACACAGACAAAAAGAGAAGAAAAGGCATTCAAGTAGGACTCCATTCCAGTTTTACTGTCCACATTAAGACGTATAGAAGAGGGGAGAAAACAATAGGAACATTTTTATCAAAGAAGCTATAAAAAAGTCTCATGGACTGGCAAGATGGTTCTTCGGGAAAAGGCACTTGCTACACAAGGTGGGTCACAGGAGTTCAATCCCCAGAACACACATTAACGGTGGAAGGAAAAAACCAACTCTACAGAGTTTTCCTCTAATCCCCACACTCTGCATCACACACACACACACACACACACACACACACACACACACCATGTACATATACAATGAACATAACTTTTAAATTTTCCAAAGAACGGAAATGAAATTCCAATTCCAAGTGCAAATGCAAGAGTTCAGCATCAAGAGTGTCAATATGGCATTTCAGGATGTTACAGGTGAAAGGGACTGTCTTGAATGGGGTAGATTTAAGGCTAATCAACCCAACCTCAGGAATATCTTAATCACTAAGGCAAATACTTTCAAATTAAGATCTTGTTTATAAATAAATAAAACAATTACAAATTCTGAAGTTTAATTTATTGGGGGGGCGTTATTTAGATTCCTTGGGGCTTTATTTTTTTTAAATGTGTATAGGTGTTTTGCCAGAATATACCACACACATGGCTGATGCCGTGGAGGCCAGAAGAAGGTATGAGATCCCCTAGAACTGGAATTACAGACAGGTGTGAGCTGCCATGTGGGTGCTGGGAATTGAACCAAGAGCAGCCAGTGCTCTTAACCACAGAGCCATCTCTCAGACGGTTATTTACCAAACTAGTACACACTTAGGTCATTCTTACTGTTGTTATGCGGGTATTTCTTCATAAAGAGAGTGGAAGGGAAGAGGAAGGCTTATAAGACTCAGGAAGCAAACAAAACTTACAAGGTTCACAAAGGGAATTCAGAAAGTTCTTAAGATTTACAAGGCTCCCCTCCAAATTATAAAGACAGCAAATGCTGGGGAGAGAGTGAGTTGCCTGAAAATTATGCAGAGAGGCTTCAGGGATGCAGTTTTCATAGTCACCCACGTTAGAATAGGCTTTTCAATGAAGCAGCTGCCTTGAGTTACCCCAGTAAGCTCACTGGTTCACCAAGCTAGACTTGAATAGAATCATTTCTTTAGTCTGTCATCAGAGCCCTATTTGGAGTGAGCAGAGGCTTGTTCATCCTCCCCAGCGGAAGTCATCCAACACTTACCAAGTGCTGGGTTATGTCGACAGCGATGGAGGCCACCTCCTGACTGTACTCACATATCATCTTCTGGATGACATTGGTGACATCGTCATTCTCCGTCTCCCTGACGATGTGCAGCAGCTCCTGCATGATGGGCCTCACGTGCGGTCGCATGTGCTCCTTGGCTAGTGCAGTGAGATAAATGAAGTAGCAAGAGTTGGTCACTCACACACTCTGACTCCTAGATCAGGGTCTAGATGCTGCTGTGCTGTGATGAGCAAGTCTCAAAGTTGCATTGAGCAAAACCCTCCTGGGGTCACCCAGCATCAGGATGTGGAAGAAACTGTCCTACCCCAAAGCTCTGCACCCTCACCCTGAGAAATGCCAGTTACACAAATGTGTCGTCAGCCTGACTGTAGGTCCCCACGACCAGTGTGAGAATTCCTGCCCACAGATAACTACAGTCAGCACTGTCCCTGTCCTGCCCATCTCTACCCACCCCAACCCCAGCCCTCAGCACATCTTTACACCTCATCCAGTCTTCCCACCAAGACAGGACACAAGCTTGTGTTCTCATAAAGCTGAATATACTTGCAGAGGTTATTTGGATCTTGAACAAACAAACAAAACACCCATGTCACTGCTCACTGGAAATACTACTCGCTAGTTTCTGAACTGGTAGAACCGCAAAGACCCTGGAGTTGAATCTTGGTTCTGTCCAATCTTATTTCTTGACCTGAGGCAGGAGGAAATGAAGGCTGACAGGATTGGAGCCTCCATCAGCTTTGTAAGCTTCAGAGAGAGGAAGCTGGATGCCTTCCCAGCTTCATGTGGCCAGTCAGAGAGCACCAAAGCTGGTCCAGGTGTCGTAAGGCCCAGGTCAAGCCCAGTAACCAATAATTATTAACTGGAAGCCACAACTAACAGAGCTCCTAAAACAGGCAGAATGAGTACCTAGAATCAGAAGCAGGCAAGGAATTTAAACTCTAGGCCCTCGGGATTAGAAATCCCCTTCTTTAAAAGCAAGGAAGTGGATGAGACTATTTAAGGCCATTTATTTAAAAAAAAAAAAAAAAAGGTAAGACACATGCGGCATCACCTTGAGTCTGGTTAGAGATCAGTGACTGCAGCGCCAGGGCAGCTTCCACCTTGACGGGCATCTCCTCGTCTTCAATCAGGCTCTTCTTTGCTAACTCAACCGCATTTCTGAGGTTGAGCTCATTATGAAACTTCAGGGAACTAAATGCGTGCAGCACCCAACAGGACTGCAATGACAGATGGGGTATTGACTGGAACAACAGCATTATGTGACAGTGTCAGGGGACGGTGACTGGGATGACAGTGCTGTGTGACAGTGTCGGGGACAGTGACTGTGTGACAGTGTCAGGGTACAGTGACTGTGTGACAGTGTCAGGGGATGGTGACTGGGATGACAGTGCTGGGTGACAGTTTTGGGGAACAGTCACTGGGAGAAGAGTGCTCTGCGAGTGTCGAGGGGCAGCCACAGGATGACAGTACCCCGTGACAACGTCACACTTGAAAAGTCTTTTACCAAATCATCACATTCACTGCAGAAACTACCCTACAGGTGAGATCTTAAGGTCCATAACAGATATAAGGAAAACTTACTCTAGCTCGAAGATATCCCAGGTTAGACAATAATAATGGAAACACGTGATTCTGTAGGAACAGCTCAATTTGGTCCTTGAATAAACTCTTCTGTTAAGAAAGAACAGAAAGCCAATGTCAGTGGCAAATGACTCCATCGTATGAAAGAGCCACTTCCCAAAAAGTGTGCTTATGATGACTTGCATTCCATACCCAATTCTGTAAGATTGTTTGATCCACACATTGCATCGCTAAAACAAGTCAGGAATAGTACCTTAGAACAACTTTATATTGATTGGTTTTTGTAGAATGTTAGGGACCAGGTCTTAGTAAATCTCTATTTCACAGCCCAAGGCCACTTTCCCAGAGCTCAGGCCACTTCCCTTCTCACGGATGAGCCTGGTGCCACAGAAATAACCCATGGCTTAACAATGCTTCATTAACACCTGCACTCCCTGGTGCAAACTCCTGCTCATCACTTATCAAACGTTTCCTGCTTCTGACGGCCCCACTCCTCAGCGCCTCCTGCCTAACCCCACAGGTTGTCCTCTGACCTCCATCCCTGTGTGGTGGCACACACGCAAAGGGACGGGCACAGGCACTCAAAGTAAGTGAATAAAACTTAGTAATGGAAGCTTTCCTTCTTTTGTGGGGGAGGGGAGAGGTCAAAAGGGCAAGGGGGTGAACTTGGGAGGACTGGGAAGTGAGTGTGATCGGGGCACATGACGTGAAGTTCCCAAATAATCGATAAAAATGTTACATTGGAAAAAAACATAATAAAGATATTTCTAAAACCCAAATATAAGAAATACATTTTTAATGTGTGTAGGTTTAACAAAAGAAAGGATATTTACAGTAGAGTCAATCAATTATATAATTCGTCACCAACAATTGTCATACTTTTGGTTGCTTGAGCTGATTCACAGCTTTGAGTTAAGTCTTGATCATCTGAGCTGGGGAAAATGGCTCATTTGACGAGGCCCTGAACTAAGAACCCAAACGGGTCAGGAGTAATGGTGTGATCCAATCATGCGGGGTGGTGGGGAGTGCAGACACAGGCAGATCCCCAAAGCTCAATGGCCGGCCGGTCTAGTGATTGGTAAGTTCCTAACTAGTGAGAGACCTGTCTAAAAACAAATACACAGCAGCTAGAGGAGACAGCTCAGCAGTTAAGAGCACTGGCTACTCTTCCAGAGGACCCAGGCACCTCATAACCTTCAGGGAACCTGACACCTTCTTCTAGCTTCTTCAGGCACCAGGCATACACATGGTACACAGACACATGTGCAGACAAATACCCATCATGCACACAAAGTAAGTAAAATAACAAAAATAAATAGTGGGGAGCCAGAGAGGAAGACAGCTTACTCTGGCCTCCAAAACACGGGTGTATACACACAAACACACACACTGTCATACACAAACTACACGAATACCCTCAAACATATGAAAACAAGAAATTGGTAAGTCTTAACCTTCAACAAAATCTCAGCCAGGGAACCAATCACATGCAGGGCTCCATCTTTCTTCCTAGGGTCAAAGTTCGGGTCTGTCAGTATCTGATAACAGAATGCCATCATTTTTGGCAACACCTAAAGAAACAGAAGAATCCATTTCAATCTGCATCAGCCTCCATCTTGTCACCACCATGTTAAATATGATGCACATTTTCAAATTTAATTTTCAGAATTATCAACTATAAGCTCAAGAAGAAAGGTATCAAAGATACTTTCAACCTTTTACTTGAAAAAAAAAACCTATTTAAAGTGACAGACTGCAGGCAATAATGATATAAATTGTTAAATACTGAGGACACGAGCTACTTTTCATTTCGACCAACTGTGTACCTCTTTCCTTTTCTTCGCGGCTGTGTACAAGAGGGTTTGGGCTGCAGTGGTGGGAGAAGCATAGTCTTCAAAAATATCTAGAATATCAAAAATAAATCTTGTTAATAAAAAATACACCCTTTATTACACAAGCTTTAAACCTGGCCAGTGGACTACAGAATAAAGATGCTAAGGTCGTGGTCCCAGAGTTTTCATGCACAACCTAATTTATAATTTGATGTTTAGCAAACGCCATGTGCTCAACCTTTCTGTGATAAGATTAAAGAAAAGCAGCATAGCCCAGGTATCTATTTCCCTGAACACAGGAATGTACTTCACACCTCTATCAAAAACGTATTCAGGGTGTTCTATGTGCCGGGCACTGCTCTAGGGTCTAGGGATGAAGGATCAAACACAGAAGCTTACGGGGTAGGAATTAAGAGACAGAGATTGTATGGATGGACTGCAGCAGGCAGGCGGAACAGCAGGGGAGGGGTTCTAAGGAGGGCTTGGCATTCAACAGATTCTGTGTTGAATGCTGAAGTATACTTAAATGCTACTTAATACCATGAAAACTTCCACAATTTCACAACACACTATTTCATAAACAAGTTGAAAACTTGAGGCTGGTGGTTGGTGCATGCCCTTAATCCAGCACTAGGGAGGCAGAGGCAGGTGGATCTCCGTGAGTTCCGAGGCCAGCCTGCTCTGCAGATCAAGTTCAAAGACAGTCTGGGCTACAGAGAGAGACCCTGTCTCCAAGCCCTCCACCCAAAAGGTAATGACTCCACGCTGAGGACTACACTACAACTTTACACTAGGATTCCAGTCCCTCTGGTGTCCTGCTCACAGCTGAAAGCACTGCCTGCCTCTCACAGACGCTGAGTCACAGGTGCACAGGGATGCATGCTTGTGACCAAAACAAAGAATAAAATGCTAGGTTTCTGCAAGTAAACACACTGTACATTACAAAAACAAACAGGTGCTAGAGAAAAAGGTAAGAAGTTGGGCACAGTGGCAACACATACAATCCTATGGTGGGGAGGCTGTGGCTAGATTGATGTAAGTTCAAGGTCAAGTCTGAGAACACTAAGAGACTCTTACTCACAAAGTCAAAAGAAAAAGAAGGGCTGGAGGGATGGCTGAGCAGTTAACATGGGGTGAAGGATGGCTGAGCAGTTAATGTGGGATATAAGGATGGCTGAGCAGTAACGTGGGATGCCTCAGTAAGGCATCTTCCAGAAGACCCGAGTTCGGTTCCCAAACACCCACATCAGGCAGCTCACAATCATCACCACGGCTCTAAGGAATACAACACTCTCTTCTGACCTGCTCGGGCATCCACCCGTACATAAATAAAAATGTCTTAAAAAAAAATGAAAAATGCTGACCATCTGAAGAACACCTGGGGGTTGGAGGTCAGCTCAGTGCACACCTATCACACACAGAGCCCTAGACTCACCTTTCCAGGCAAGGTGGTATACGCCTACAAATGCAGCGCTCGGAAAACGGAGTCCTGAAGACTGCCAGGAGTCTGAGGCCAGTCTAGGCCTGACTGAGTGAGACCCTATCTCAAAAAGCCTTAAGCGGAAAGAGGAACAACTCCATTCTTCTGCTAAAGCAGACAAGGAAGGGGGCAGACAGGGCGAAGAGAGGGAAGCAAATTCTGCACTGGATGATGACTTCTTAAAGGAAAGGGCAGAATGGAGAGAGAATGGAGATGGTCAATACTGCTTCTTCCCTTGTTTTCCTGAGAGGAAGAATGCTCCTCCTGGAATCAAAGCTTGCTGAGCCCTGTCACTGATGTCCTACAAGGTGGGCCCTGGCAGGAGTTTAAGCTGAACTTTGGGACTTTAGATGACTGACTCAACAAGTGAGCGACAGGGTTTCTCGAGGCACCTTCAACATACCTCAGTTTTAAACTGGCAGTCTTTATCTCAACATTACTGGAGGCGGACTAACTAGTGCCAGTCAAGACCAGGAGAATTTAGAAATGAGGAGGGGAAAAAAAATATAAAATAAAGCAAGTAGATATGGTAACATTGCTGCTCTGACATATCTCAGCTACGGGATACACACTTACACATGATAACACCTGCACAGGGCCTTACCCAGGGAAAGGGTAAGTCGGTATCAGGCCACCTACTCAGCTCAACAGCTTCTAGAAGGATCCAAGCCAAAAAGATTCCCAAAAGAACTGGGTTACACACAGTGTGGCCAGTGAAGGAAATCCTATCCCTGGTAGAACGCATAGTCAGGGGGAAGCAAATCAAGCTGAGTTTCTGACACGTGCAGGGACCCAAACCTATTCCAGACGACGAGTACTAGGTGGTAAAACAGACAGGAAAAAAAAAAGGTGGTCCCTCCATGCCAGCCACACAGCCTGGGTAACAAACCATTCGGCAAAGGCCTCGGCTCTGCCGCAAGAGATGAGTAAGGCTTCTTTCGTCTCCGGCACCCAAAGGCATCAAGCACCTTGGTGCAAAGTAACATCAGCCTTTCCTCAATTTCAGAGTCCACCGTACAGAGCGGAACTGCTTAGAGATACAAACCGGTCGTATTTACATATCCAGGAAATGCTGAGGGGAAACTCAATTACCAAACTTCATCCTTATGTATTCATACGGGTCTTCTTGCCACAGCTCCTCATCCTCGTCTTTGTAACACATCACAGAGAAGATCACGTCTTCGGAGATGTTCTGAGGTGAGAAGCAAACAAAACAGGTGGTTACAGGCCATCCCACTGAGACTCCCAGCATTAGATTCTCCAGAGTTACCCGGATCTTTCTCAACCTGCGTTCACACCCAGAGAGGAGAGCAAGAGCTGAAGACTTAGAAGCTGGAGGCTGGAAGCAGAGAAGTGAAAAGTCCCTTGAACCAAGGACAGGTCAACATTAAACAGTGTTTTCTTGTGGAGGAAAAAAATGCCACCAGGGTTACATTTACTATTATGATTCTCGTGTTGAAAACGCTTCATGTGCCCATGTTGGTCCGAAGCATTGATCCTTCAACCATATCTGTGTCTTTTCTGCTTCCATTTCCAAAACACCAGTGCTCCGCTCCACAGCTGTGTGTTTCAGAGAGGAGGTTCCCTCAGCAGCCTGCGAACAGCAGCCAAGCTCAAGCAGGCCCTGTGTGTTCTGGTAACTCTCACATAAAAATAGGACCGGGGCTAGAGGGATGGCTGGGCGATCTTCCAGAGGACCTGGGTTCTATTCCCAACACCCACATGGAGGCTCTTAACCATCTAACTCCAGTTCTAGGGCATCCAAAGACTTTCTGGTCTCTTTGGCACCAGGCATGCACACAGTTCACAAGCAAGCAGCTAACACCCATACATGCAAAATAAAAACAAATAAATAAAAAAAAAAAGAGGGGGGAACCATTTCTTATCACTTAGTTGAAATTCTAAAGGTCAGTATTTTCCTGAAAGTTTCTATGTGAAAACTAATAAGGCCAAAGGAAAGGACGCTATTTAGTATTTCATGTCAGCCTTACATTTACAGGTACAAAGTAAACAAAATGAAAACAGTATCTTTACTAATTGCAAAGAAATTACCACTATTTGATCGCAGTAGGAAAACAGTTACAAAGAATCCACAATTCACAAATTTAAAAGAAACTACATGGAGCTGGAGAGAGGGCTCAGTGGTTTAAGAGCACTGGGTGTTCTTCCAGAGGACCTGGATTCAACTCCCAGCACCCATGTAGCAGCTCACAACTGTCTGTAACTCCAGGTCCAGGTGATCTGATAACCTCACACCAATGCACATAAAATAAAGTCAAATAAATTATTTAAAAAGTCTTACATATGTAAGACTTGTGTTCAGATAATGCTAACCAAAGCTGGGTGTGGCAGTAAATGTAATCCTAGCATTCAGAAGAAAATCCTAGCATTCTAAGAAGAAAAATCGTGAGTTCAAAGGCCTAACGATATAGAAAGACACTGTTTAAAAAAAGATAATGCTACCTAAACTCTATCATAGATACCATGAAAGGTAAAGCAACTGAGTTTTCTTGTCACATGCCAACTTACAGAATTTAAGAACAAGGGGTTAGGAATGTTAGTTGACAGGGCACTTGCCTAGCATGCATGAGATTCTTGAAGCCCGTCGTACAAACCCCATCACCCCATACACCAGACAGGCACGGGCAGTGGTGCATGGCTGCAATCTCAACCTTTAGGAGGTAGGGACAAGAGGACCAGAAGTTCAAGGTCATCATCCACCACACAGGAAGTTCAATGTCAGTCTGGGCTACTGTCTCAAAAGACAAAAAAAATTGTAAACCTGGTGTGGTGGCCCATGAATTAATCTCAGCACTCAGGTGGCAGAGGCAGGTGGATCTCTGTGAGTTCAAAGCCAGCCTGGTCTACACAGTGAATTCCAGAACAGTCAGGGCTACATGGAAAGACCTTGTCTCAAAAGGAAAAAAAAAATGTTTTATGCCAAGAACTCACAGTTTATTGGAAATGGAGAGTCAGTTCTTAATGTCTTTAAGTTATCCAGATATTTATGTGCAAATAAAATGTATATATTATTGATCCATCACTTTCCATTCTGATTTATTTGTTCTTTAATTATGACAAATAACAGTGCTGAATTATGTCTTTTAAAACAACAACAACAAAAGTTGGCATTAAAATGTTAGCCATTAATAAGTTTTAATAAAACCTTTTTAATAAAAAATAAAAATAAGGCTATTTTTAATAAAACAAAACTTCAACTTCTGCTAAAGAACTGAATCCAAGAAAGAAAGAGACTGAGAGGGATGGAGGGAAGGAGAAAGAGAGAGAGATAGAGACACACTTTGGCACATATCCACAAAAGAAAAGCCATTGATCAAACTTCATCTTCTGCAAAATAACACTCCCTTTGTAAAGTCCTGCTGGCAGCTTTCAAAATGTTTTCACACAAGGGTCAAGAAAACATTATGATCTGCCTTAACAGAACAGACACCAAAGCTAAATAAAATGATTGACATCTGACTCCAAGCCTCCCAACTCATAATCCTGAAGATCTCCCTCTTCTCAAATGCTTCAACTTTGGAAGCCCTTCATTGTAAGACTGAACTTGTTGGTAATTATTGTTAGTGGGAACAGAGATTAAGTAGAAAACATAGGACAAAACAACACCTGCTTTCTCTAGAAAACCCAACTTAACCGACAATGGTGTAGAGAGCCACTACCAACACTAACCTGTATGTGTGGCTTCATCTGCTTCCAGGTTACAGCGTGGACAACACCTTGGTTGAGATAGTTGAACGCTTGCTGAAGGACACGGGGGGCTATATATTCTTTCTGTCTGTACTGGTCTAAAATTTTTAGTAGTACCTATGGGAAAACAGGTGGGGGTTGGGAGGGATGAACATAGAACAATTACTACATTAAAGAGCAGAGAAGTGCTTGAGACATGACATAAAATGCTGTAGAGACAGTGATCTGCACAAGCAGATTTGGGGGAGACATTGAGAAAGCTCCTGCAGACATTGTATCTTTAAATGGGTCTATGTTCTAGTCTATGGCTAGTGTGCTGTTTTCAATGAAAATGACCCACCTATGGGCTCATGTGTGTGACACTATTAGGAGGTGTGGCCTTATTGGAGTAGATGTGGCCTTGTTGGAGGAAATATGACACTGGGCGTAGGCTCTGAGGTTTCGGGTGCTCAAGCCAGGCCCAATGTCATTATCTCTTCCTGCTGTCTACCAATCCAGATGTAGAACTCTGAGCTACCTCTCCAGCACCATGTCTGCCTGCACGCCACCGTGCTTCCTGCCATGAAGATAATGGACTAAACCTCTGAAGTGTAAGCCAGCCTAATTAAATGTTTGCCATGGTCATGCTGTCTCTTCACAGCAATAGAACTTTGACTAAGACAGCTAGCTTCTTTTCAATAAAATTACAGATCTGACTGAGCAAATAAATAAACATCTCAAACTTTTATATAATCACACAGCAGCACAGGTTCACACAGTACCAGCAGCGCCAACACTTAGACCTTAATCAGAAGATAAACATTATTATAAAAATAGTGCTGATATAACCAATTTCTCTTTGAAATAATTAAACTAGATCCCCAAATAACCTTCACACCAAAATAAACTCCAGACAGATAAATACTTTAACAGTTAAAAACCCTAAAGCATGGAGTTCCTAGAAAAAAAAGTAGGATATTTGTGTATTTTATAATGTCAGACCACAGACAATCTCTGTAACATAAAGTTGACTTTTCTATGGGCCAATTACATTCTTGTTTATAAGAAAGAACCGTGAGAAGCGGCTGCGACCAGCTCAGGGGTCTTTAGAGACAGCACAATGCTCCTGCCTCCCATTTCCTGGTTCCCATCACTTCATTATGTCAAGCTGAAAGTGAGTTGCCAAATCTTTCAGAACATATACACGATTTATAAGTCAGACTATGAATTTTATCCACCTTACCTAAAATCTAGGTTAATAAAATTGGTCTGAAGTCCAGCTCCTGCAATGGCAGCTGAGAGAATGGCTTTGCACAGGGCTGTCCCAACACCGTGGCTGGGGTTCAAACATGCATGGTTGCCATGCCAGAGGAGCAGCAGGTGGCAACTGACTGCAGGGGATCAGCCCACCAGCACGCCAGGCACCAATGGATGGATCTTGGGTAGGTGAGGCCCTGAGAGACTCGGCCCCAGAATGTCTCTTGCTACTGCTGTGTCTTTGCATGTTTGGTACTGCCATTTTTCTCTGGTATCTTGGCATGGTTTGAATGGGTATGGGGAGACCTTCACTGCCTTAAATGTAGTGGGGTTATCTCGTGGGAATATCCCCTTCTACTGGGCATTTTTTACCTGTGGATTATTATGAAGATGATTTCCTATTAAGCTGTACTGCTTAACTGAAGCAAAGATTTTATATATATAATAATAGTGTTAGTTTAAATAAGATTTTGGAGTTCGAGGCCAGCCTGGTCTACAAAGCGAGTTCCAGGACAGCCTCCAAAACCACAGAGAAACCCTGTCTCGAAAAAAAACAAAAAACAAAAAAAAAAAAAAAGATTTTGATGATTGAGGGTCTTTAATATAGTAAGGGATTATGATAGAGGTTAGTGGGAAAACTAACACAGGTAAAAACAAGATATGGTGTTACCCTTGCCCTTGTCCCTGATAAAACAGGGGATGCAGAGGATAGAAAATTAAAACATGGAAATGTCACACAGCCAGTTTTTCTTGAGAAACCGTATAGCCTGTGGCTTAGGTTAATGATTAAGGAAAACAACTGAGTCCCAGAAACTAGGCTAGCTCAAGTTCTTTAAATCTTAATGTTGGGAGATGTGTTCACAGGCTTCAGTGTGCATCATAGCTAAACAAAACTTTAAAAATAACGTAAAGTTAAATTAAGATGTTTTTGTTAATGGTTTTGAGTTTAAAAAAATACCTTGGAAAACAATTTAAAGGCATGTTTTTAATAGCTGAGCAAGGGACTCACTGAGGTCAGGGAACAAGAATAATGGCAGCCTGGCTATTGCTGGCTGATGTACCTTTCTTGCTAGGATGGGATGGTGATCAAGGATGGTAATTCCTGAACCCATTTCTGCCCTCAGCTCCCTGATATAAAAAAACGTATGCACCCTGGGGATTTAAAGTAGAACTGACTGTTTTTCATATATACAAGTTTAGAGTTGTGGCCGGGCGGTGGTGGTGCACACCTTTAATCCCAGCACTCAGGAGGCAGAGGCAGGCGGATCTCTGTGAGTTCGAGGCCGGGCTGGACCGACAGCCTCCAAAACAATACAGAGAAACCCTGTCTCGTAAAAAACCAAAAAAAAAAGTTTAGAGTTGTGATTCCTTTACGATATTTTTTATAAGATTACCTTTTAAGACAAATAATAAAATAATTGGTCTTTTCTTTGAAACCACAAAATGCAGCCTGTCAGCAAGAAAAAAAAAAAAAAAAGAACTGACTGAGAAGAACACCTTGCTTGAGTACACTCTGCTAATCTGTAACAAGTTGCTTGGACATGAATGCATGCAGGTTCTTGGAATGACTTGTTTTTTCCTGTGTAAGTTGTTTAAATGTGTAAGGGATATGCAAAAACATGATTTTTTTATTTGTATTCATTGTAATCGCTCACTTGAAAAATAGTACGTAACCACAGTGTAACTTTTATATTGCTTGAAAGATTCTACTGGGGTATTTATATAAGCTTTAAGGGAAAAAATAAAGACAAGAAAGAGAAGGAAACCACCAGGAAATAGGTAGAAGAAAAGCTAGAAGGAAGGAAGACTTAAAGAGAGACAGAAGGAAGACATCAGGATGGAAAAATAGAACAGAAAAGAAACAGAATAGAACAAACAACAGTAAGAATGATAAAATGAAGGAAAAAGGTTTGGCCTAGAAAAATCCTGTGTGTCTGTTTGTCTGTCCAGTCTGCTCTGCATCTCCTTTTCAGTTTCTCTGACCTGCTGAAGGCTTGCCATTCACTAGCACCCTAGGTGAGATCCTGACATACTGAAGGTGTGTGTGTGTGTGTGTGTGTGTGTGTGTGTGTGTGTGTGTACGTTTGTATGTGCATGTGTGCATGCATGTGTGTGTTTCTTTTTCGCCAACCACAGAGAGTTCAGTTTTACTCCCTTATATAGAAAAGTCAAATTGAGGGATTAGTCTGCTAACCCTGTTGGATGCTCCTCTATCCCTGAGCAAGCTGCAGGCTTGGTCCTCACCACAGCAATAGGGGAGATTCAAGACAGCAGCAGATGACAGCTCTGGCCAGGAAACTAATTTTAAATATCAGAGTACATCTTCAATAACATTTCTGGCAAAAACACATGGACACAGCCCGCATTTTTTAATACAAGTATACACATGCATGCGTAAATGACACTAGAAAATTCTAAACACACTTCAAGAGACATCAACGTTAAGATACTTCTTGAAGTTTGACAGCAGCAGAACAGAGTCAAAGATACAACTGAATGCTGGACAGATAATTTCACTTATTATTTACTAATTTCCCCTACAGAGAATCTCATGGGCACCACATCAAAGTACTTTTCGGAAATTGTTTCACCTTTCTTAAGCACTTAATTTCGAATTACCTAGAGATTTATGAAAAATCTATAAATACCTTCTGCATCATTGAAGCCTTGGATTATGTCTGATTAAACAGTCCTAGCTTTCCTACAAAGGCCCTGGCACAGCTAATTACTAATTACTAACTCTCATAAAAAAAATAGCAAACATATCATGACTCAGTTGCCAGTATTTGATGGACCAATCAGAGTTCACTGTCCTTGCAATTTTTAAAGTTTTTAAACACTGATATCAACAGTATCCTCCGTTCCACGTTTTCCTTATGTGGGCTGGATACTCCCACCTCCAAGAACATGCGTATGTTCTTACCGGAGAGTCTTCACTGATATCTAAGCTAGACTACTCTTGAAATACATTATTCACGGTACACAAAACTTCAAACAGACAAGGGAAAGCTCAGAGACATTGGAAACTGTTAAGAACACAGAGGGGTCTACATCATCATCTGAGGCATCCTCCCCAAGTCTAGGAGTCATGAAGGCAGTTCTGGTGGGAGCACATGGGGGACACTCTGGCTGCCCTGACTCCCACAGCTGCCATTTCACCCTCTGTGAGTGTGCGACAAATTACCATGTAAGCAAGCTACCTTGGAACAGGTAGAAACAGCACTCGATAATAACCATTCCTCTATTTTTTATATATACTTTTTTTATTTTAAATTTAAATTAGAAACAAGGCCATTCCTCTATTTTTAAAAGCACTAAGTTTATTACCTGCTGAATTCCTACTGCGTAGGTTTTCAAAAAAAATTCAGAAAATTCAAAGTATTCCTTCGTGACGTTTCCCGGGCTTCCATACCTTAAAATTAAAAAAAAAAAAATCTAAGTATGTACTGTGAACTTTAAAAGCACAGCATACTTGCTATTTTAAATGCAGATACTAAAAGATGTCTTCAACTGGGCCAGAAAACTAGCACATGCTCTTTCTCCACAAGATACAATATGAATCAGGAGGAACTCAGAGACGCTATGGCGCAGTTAACATTTTGAACAGAAATTTCTAATTTCTAAACCAATTAACTCCTAGAATGAATAAAAATGTTATGCCTGACATTGTTTTTCAATAAAAGCTTTTAAAATTAAATTTGACTTCCTTATGGAGCCAAGCATCCATGTGCACCTTCTTACATAATTTCTGGATATTTCCTGGGGGGTGGGGGAGGATGAAAAGTTTTCCATGTCTTGCACAGAGTAGAAAAGAGCCAGAGACAGCTACCCACTCTGTTATGATTTCCAGGGCAGTGGGCACAAGCCTACTTTGAGCATCGGGTAAAGCTTTGCTCTCTGTGGGGATTTTTTTTTGGGGGGGGGTTGTTTTTTTTTGGTTTGGTTTGGTCTGGTTTTTGGCTGTATGAGACAGGGCTTGCTACGTAGGTAAGAATGACTTCCAATCCATGATTCTCCTTCCCTCCACTTCCCTAAGGCTTAGAATAGATGTGTACATCACTAGGCCCAGCTGCTCTCTATGGCTTTAAAAACAAAACAAAACAAAAATCGTTTTCTTAGAACATCAGGGAGCCACTCACTTCTAGGGTACCCAATACCAAGATACCAACTGTAACACGGTTAACACAGGAAGTGGGGTAATACCGCTCAAAGAGACGGGCCACGATGTGTAGAGCCCATTTCTTACACTTCCACCACACCAGCTCTGGTCGGTCATCCTCATCAATTTGAAGAGTCTCCTAAGAAGGGAAAGACGTCAGATCAAATTTTTTTTTCCTACGTTGGTTAACAAAACCAGCATAAATTTTGGTAGAGATGAAGTCATAGCTATTCGAAGTGAGACTGCTATGTGAGTATACACTCTACTTTGCAGGTAGCTAATTAGAAATTAAGTAAGTTGAGCAAATCCTTTCCTGGCAGTGCTGATCTTTCAAGGGAAGCAAGCAGGCAGAAACAGAGCTCTGAGGGGAATAAGAAAAGTTCCAAGTTGGCAAAAATCACCAAACTGTTTATTGCCTATCTGGACACATTAAGACTTGAAATAATTTGTTTCATATATGGACAATGGAGAAGATATGTCAGAATGATTAGCATGTGGGAGTCCTCGGGCTCAACTTAAATATGCAAATAAATAGAAGATGTGGGCACAAAAAGAACAGTGGATATTTCAGGTCAACTCAAATTTTTAAAATATACAAAGGTTAATTTGATAGATGAAAAGGCACTCTTGTTGCTACCACAGCCACACTCAGATACTTTTTCCTGTAAAATAGGTAGTTGAGAACCAAGTGTGCACTTGCAGCAAACACTCTCAGCCACAGTTTCCTACAGTACATGCTAGATAGAGCACTGTTTCTGCTTTGCAAGGCCTGTCAAAAGCCCAACACTTTCAGGACGCAACCACTGTGCCACAGAATTCACCCCACCCAGGCACTAAACCACATTCTTACACATGAAAACTACCCAAATATCCAGTAATGAAGCACTCCACTAAAATAACAGTATAAAAACAGTCAGAGGGCCAGCAAGATGGTTCGGGAGGTAAAGGTGCCCACTACCACCCTTGATGACTCAAGTTTGATCCCCAAGATCCACAGGGTGGAAAGAAAGAACCACAAAGGTCCTCTGACCTCTACACGTGCACCATGGTGTACTCCCAGACAACATACCACCTACACACATACACACACACACACACACACACACACACTCACTGGATCCTCTGTTCTACACACACATCATGGTATACTCCCACACAGCACACCACCTGTATATACACATACTCACTAAAAAGAAATTTAAATGTAAAGTAAAAATTATTTTTAAAAAAGTTATAATCAAGCTGGGCGGTAGTGGTGCACGCCTTTAATCCCAGCACTCAGGAGGCAGAGGCAGGCAGATCTCTGTGAGTTCAAGACCAGCCTGGTACAAGAGCTAATTCCAGAACAGCCTCCAAAGCCACAGAGAAAAAAAAAAAAAGTTACAGCCAGAAAAGTATTGATAATATTTATATTTCAGTTTTGGTAGAAAAAAATATGAAGGTACAGCTACATGTAATATTTTTATAAGCAAAATTCTAAACATACATGTAGGAAAAAAGACTAGAGAGACATGTAGCAAGGTTTAAAATGTTTGTAACCAGCTTAAGTTAAACGTGGTTACTGTTATAATATTCTTGCTGATCTGACGTTCTAAAAGTAAACATTATTAATCATGTATTACATTATTTCACTAGTTAATATGATAGTGGTATTCTTGTTTTCCAGAGAGCATTTGCAGGCTTTCTTCAGAACCCTGACATACCGGAGGGACCGTCCTGTCAATGATGGTCCGAAAGATCTCCATCCACGTTGTCATGGTCTGGTGATTGACCAGCTGAAGAGGCAGTGCGTACTAGGAAACAGAGCAGCGGTAGACAGTCAGCACTTTATATCACAAGGCAAAAATATACAAAAAAAAAGCTAAATTGGAGCAAGAAACAGCAACTCGTGATTCAGCCTAAAATTAACTCTAAAAAATCCATAGTCAAATACATACTTTGGGGGGTGGGAGGCAACAAGGCCTCACATATCCTAGGCTACCCTCAAAGTCCCCCAAGGATGACCTTGGACCCCTGACCCTCCTGCCTCCACCTCCTGCATACTGAAATTACAGGTGTTTGCCGCCACACCTAATTTTATGTAGCTCGGGGGATTGACCCCTGGGTTTCATACATCCCAGGTAAGAACTCTAACACTTGGGCTACTCCCCAGCCTCTCTTTCTGTTTGTTAGGTGGATTGAAACAGGGTGTGTTTTGAAACAGGGTCTCTTTGTAAGCCAAGCAGGCTTCAAACATGCTATGGAGCCAAAGACAGTCTTACAGTCTTAATCTTCCGACCTCTACTCTGAAAACACGAGGCTTACACACATGTACAACCTACATCTGGCTTTTATATATAAGTCTTTTAAAAATTAGAAACATACACGCCATTAGTTGTTTCTCTTGTCTACCTTTACAAACAAAGATTTAATATCAATAATGTCCCATTTATTTCATACATTTTGGGTTGTTTTACAACCTGCCTCTCTTCGTGTATCCAACTTTTAATTGTAAGCACTCTGATGAAAATCTTCACCTCGTGAACTCGCAAGAAGCGCTTTTTTAATTCCCATCCTCTAGTGTGTGGCCCAGTAGCTACAGTGACCGCTACTCAGGCTCCATCACCCCTGCTACACCTCGAGCTGCAGGGGGCTGCCTCCATGCCCACTGTTCTACTGTCCCTAGCTATGAGTTAATGGCATAACCCTAAAGGAGACATCCCTCTGTCTCACAAAGCTCACACCACAGCTGGAAAGGGCAAATAGTGAAGGAGGGGAGAGAGGCAGCTATGGATGTTCACACCTATAAGCCAGACATGGCGGCTCACACACGTAAGCCCATCACTCAGAAGGCTGAGGCAGAAACCCTGCTGCGAGTTTGAGGGCCCCCTAGGCTACACAGTGGAACCCTGTCTCAAAAAAAAAAAGATTAAGAAAGGCCATACTTTCCTCTCAGTGCCGTATGGGGGGGAGGCATTTGGGCTTGAACTAGGGTCCAGAGGATGGGCAGGCAGGGGGTTGGGCCAAAAGCGGTGATTCCCCACATATGTCTGAAGGAACCAAATACCTCTACACAGATAAACACTACTTAAGACCAAATAATCTCGTTGAATTAGACATTTAGGAGCAGTTCATTGGGGCCATCTGTATCCCAGCCTTATGCCATGATTACAGTTTCAAATCTCCCTTTTTTTTTTTTTTTTAATTTTGCCTTCAAAGGAGCACATTATTGTATTTATATATAACAGATTACCAAAACAGTTAAAGATGTCAGAGCAGTTCACCTTTGTTTTTGGGTTTTCTGTTTTTTATGTGTTTAAAAGATTTTTTTCCCCTGCCAGTAAGCCAAGTAGATAAAGAAACCACAGAAAACTCATGTCCGGAGCCTTCATGTTACCCACCAGCACCTGGGCTCTGTTTACCCAGTAAGCAAGGCTAGCCCCAAATACATGGGCTACTATTGTTGTTACAATGTCCAATGTAAAATAGGCCTACTGGGGAGATCTCTAGTACTAACTCTACAAGAAAGAAAGGCCATGCAGCTGTCTTTCCAAACACTTCAGAAAATGTAGAAGAATGCATTGCCCTGATATTCTACTTTCTTCTCTCTTGTGAGATCTCCTTCCTTTTGTCCTGGGGAAAAAAAAAAAAAAACAACCCTGCCTTCAACTGACTTCCCTAAACAATTATGAGACCAGGTGAGGTGGCCACACTCTTAATGCCAGCACTCTGGAGGCAGAGGCAGGCAGATCTCTGTGAGTTCAAGGCCAGCCAGGTCTATAGAGTGAGTTCCAGGACAGTCAGGGCTACGCAGAGAAACCCTGTCTCAGAAAAAAACAAAAACAAAAGGCTTACAAGAGGAGACTTTATTATAACCCTAAAGTAGTCCAAAGGCACCCAAGTCAAATGAAACAAGAGCACGTCCCAACTCCCCTGTCCCCCCCTACCTAGCGCAACTAAACCACCCTCACGTCACAGGGAAGTGTCAAGGAGGCACACAAGACAGCTTTAATCCAGCATCACATCTACGCTGACCCCAATTCTTCTTCCCAGGCTGAAATCATTTACTCAGGGTTTTCAAGGGTTCAGTGCTAAATATTCTCAAATTCAGGGACATTCCATCTCTATCTTTAATTATTTTTTTAACTACCATACTAGTAGCATTCTTTATAGTTTCCACATAAAAGGGGATTGGCTTAAATCACGGGAAATACATAGAGGGCAGAAAGGCCTTGTGCACACAGATGAGCACGTGAAGAGCCAGGGAAAGTTAAAACATATAGCTCGTTTCTCCAAAGGGAGAAGATAGATATTTAGCTGTTTCTCCTGGAACGCTGGGGAAGAATGTAGCTTACATCCAGGTAACGCTTTGCTACCTGTTCGGTCAGGGTCTGCTCGTATCCCCCACAACATTGTGCTTGCTTACCCCAGACTTTCCCCCTAAAGCCTTGAGCTTTACTTCTAGGCCACGAGACTCATCCTTGTGAGACATGTCACCTGCACTTTACAACAGCCTAAGTGATGGCTGTGTTGTCTCAGGGCCAGGCCAATCCTGAATCCCACAGGCATTAAGTTTACCTCAGAGGCCCTTATCCTGAACAATGTTTCTAACACAAGAAACCATCTTATAGACGAAACCGTGTGTACTTTGCTAAGAACTTCAATGTAAACATGACTTAAGCTTTGCCACAGTCATGGGGCTGTATTAATTGTTATCTGAATACTTTCTCCAAAATCGTGCTGTGTTTAAATATGGCTAAAGTAGAGTGATCTGGGCCGGACTCCAAGAAGTCTTGGCCCAGCGCTGGTTTACCATGACCGGTTTCCCCTGCCTGCTGTCGAGCCTGCAGGGACCCTTCCACAAAAATGAGCCACTAAATCCGTGTTGGCTTGAAGTTGGCTGAAGAAGAGAAAAGGCCATCACAGTGTGATTCCCCACAAAGGAGGACTTTGTGTTTCCTTCCTCTCCTCCTCTAATCACAACCGAGGTGCAGACAGGGCACCTTGAATCTAAGCTCAGACAATGTCTGGGTTCTTTGGGACTTGGGACTTGAGACTGAGAAAACAGCCACAGACACCAAACTGAACATTGCACTGGGTACAGCGCTCATTGTCGACTGAGTTAACTTCTGTTAGTCTGATTCTCCTAAGGTAAAAATATATGATTCTAGGGGCCGGAGAGGTGGTTTTCCAGAGGACCCAGGTTCAATTCCCAGCACCCACATAGCAGCTCACAACTGTCTGTGAATCCAGTTCCAGGGGATCTGGCATCCTCAGACAGACATATATGCAGGCAAAACACTAATGCACATGAAATAAAAATAAATAAATCTTAAACTGGGCATTGGTGGGTGACAGGCGGATCTCTGTGAGTTCAAGACCAGCCTGGTCTACGAGAGCTAGTTCCAGGATAGCCTCCAAAGTCACAGAGAAACCCTGTCTCGAAAAACAAATAAATAGATCTTAAAAATATATGATTCTAAACAATGACATTTCTAAAAGGTAGACAGAAACATGAGGCTCCATGTTTGTCTTCTGAGGTAGAACTGACCTGAACGAGAGCGTAGAAGATTTTCAGAATCTGTTTCTGCAGCAACACAGAGTAATGGGAGGCATCGGGAAGTAACTGCAGGATTTGCTGCTGAATTCGAGGCAGAAATATTTGCATGGCTGCCAGGAGAGGCTCTCTTTCCTCTGCTTTCTTATATCTACATGAACGAAGACAGAGAATAAAGAAGGTGATGGCTTCTCTCCTTCCCAATGAGTTAGAAACAATGATAAACCACATGAAGCCAGAAACATGCAAAATGTGGCTTAAATGTTCTATGTAGCTGCTGCAATGAAGCTGGAAGGAACTTTGAGAGAATAAAGCCTTGGTTCGGGCAGACATGAAACCTTCCTTAAAAGGTTGCAACTAGTTTAAGAGTCCAACACTGAAGACCTGCAATCCCAGTTCTTGGGAGATAAAGTCAGAAGGAACATGATCTCAAGGCCAGCCCAAACTTACAAAGCAAAACCTGTCTCAAAATGCAAACGGCTGGAAATGTGGTGCATGTAAAAGCATCCTGGATTGGTTTGCTGTGAGTCAATGAAAGAGGGAGGGGAGGGGAGGGAGGGGATGGAGGGAGGGGAGGGAGGGAGGGAGGGAGGGGAGGGGGGGGAGATGAAGAAGAAAAGAAAGGAAGGTCCAAGACTATCTAGTAATTTTATATGGGAAGTTTTCTAGTGTTTAAGTTAACTCTCACCAAACATAAAATGAAGGCTGATCCGCTAGCTTAAACATCATATTGTACAGCAAATAACAGAGAAAATTTTCTCATATCATCCTACGTTGAGAGTGGATGTACTTTATAAGCCTAGGTGCTCCCCTGTCAACTCTATTGCTGCCAATCTAAAACCTTTTCTAAAAAGAAATTCCATAAAACTGTCTGAACTATCGTCTTAAAGAAGGAAAACTATCTGGGCTGTAATCTCAGCACTCAGGAGGCTGAGGCAGGAGGATAGCTGTGAGTTCAAGGCCAGCTTGAGCCACCGAATTAATACCCTGTCTCAAGACAAAGGGGAAACTATAGGACTGCACATACAAAAGCAGCACTCATCTAAAAATCCTAAAATTACTATAACTCACTGCCATCTAAGTCTTGACCCTCACCAGCAACTTTCACAGAAATGTCCTGGTGAACCTTTATGTTTTCTTACCTTTTCTTACCAGGAAAGTCTCTGATTTCTGTATCTACAGCAGCAGCTAAGGGAAGTATGTTACACCTCAAGTATGTCACTTACCATCTCAGAAGTCAGCAGTGCACACCAGAAAACCTGAGTGCCACTGAGCAATTGCAGCAAGTGAATGCATTAATTCAACATTGAGTCCGCGTTTTCCGGTGACCGCACCCCACAGCGGACTGCTCTATGGGCCTGATGCCACAGGACGCTGGCTCTCTCTGGCCAGTATAAATGAACTTACTCATAGGTCTTCACCAGCTGATACAAACATAGCAAACTGCCAAGCCAGCTCCCACTGTTTGGTGACTGCAAGTAGTAGTCTATCTTGTCGACCACGGCAGGCCAGTGACCAGGAAAGTCATGTTTGATGATGACTCGGAGACACATTGTTAGCTGGACTCTGTAAGGTGGGAAGAAAATGCCCAAATGCAAGCAGTTAAGAGTATTATCCACAAAAGAACTATGGATAGGCTTATAAAGTTCTCTACCTCCCTTTATACCTATAGCCAGGCACCACCGAACATGGATAACATTGAGAAATATGGGAACACCAGACCCTAACCTAACCCTAACCTTTATAACCTAAGATATCCATGTAGTTGCGTCTAAGAGGATGTAATCATACGGGACACCATTGTATATACTGTTAACCTCTGCGGCAAAAGGCTGTATACGTGAGGGGTGTGAAGAAAATTGATCATATTAAAAACCTTCTCACCAGGCGTTGGTGGTGCACGCCTTTAATCCCAGCACTTGGGAGGCAGAGGCAGGCGGATCTCTGTGAGTTCGAGGCCAGCCTGGTCTACAAGAGCTAGTTCCAAGACAGCCTCCAAAGCCACAGAGAAACCCTGTCTCGAAAAACCAAAAAAAAAAAAAAAAAAAAAAAAACCTTCTCAGTGACTCAATCTACTGAAAATAAACAGAATGGGAGAACTCCTCAAATATATAAAACCTTCATCTTATCCTAAAGGTATGGGGGGGGGGGGGAGACAGCGTTCAAGACAAGGTTTCTCTGTGTAACAGCCCAAGCTGTCCTGGAACTAGCTCCATAGAACAAGTTGGCCTAGAACTCACAGAGATTCACCTGTGTCTGCCTCCTGGGATTAAAGGTATGAGCCACCACCACCCAGCCTAAAGGTATTTTTTAAATGAACTTAAAAATAAATTCAAGGGCTGGAGAGATGGCTCAGTGGTTATGAGCATTAGCTACTATTCTTCAAGAGGTCGTTGAGTTCAATTCCCAGCAACCACATGGTAGCTCACAACCATCTATAATAGGATCTGATGCCCTCTTCTGGCATGCAGGTATATATGCAGCACACTCATACATAAAGTATAAATGACTTTTTAAAAATAATAAATAAATTCAAAAAGACTGTAAAAAATTTCCAAGTATACCACAAATCTGCCTCAACTCAATAAAAAGTGTTACTTATTTTATATTTGAGTCTTTATATCCAGAAGGAGCAGCATGTACAGGGTCCTGGGTTTGATCTACAGCATACACACAAAGACAGACACATAGAGAAAAGGGATAACAAGATAGACATAGATTATGTATACACACTCATAGATAAATAATAGAGATATGCAAATACATAGATGATAGGTATGTAGGTAGATAGATAGATAGATAGGTTATTTGATTAGAAAATTAACCTGACAAAATTAGGATCCAAACTGTAGTTTTTGGTGGGTTGTTTACTTATGAGAAGGTTTTATGCATCCCAGATTGATCTCCAACGCAATATGTAGCTGAAAATGATCTTAAACTTCTGACCCTCCTGCTCCTATGTCCCAAGTCCTGGGATCCACACATGTACCACTACACAACACCATTGCATGCAGGGCCGGGAATGAACGCCAGCTCTCGCGCTAGGAAAGCGCTGTACCAACTGAGCTACATCCTCAGTCCCAGGATTCCAAATTGTAAAAAAACAAACAATAAAATCGTGTTCAGTGGAACAGACAATAACTTAGATCCACAAAACCTGGAAAAATTTAAGCAGCATATTGAATCTTCCTTATGGCACCAAATCAAGTTTCTCTGCAATACTTCTGGACAAAATCAGACATTAAGAAGCATCTTCAGGCAGCTTTAGGACACAGGGAGAGCAAAGCCACAAGGGCTGTCTCAGAATAAACAGGGATTCCCTGTCTACTGCCAGCAGCTGTTCCTTGAAACAGCACTGGCATAAAGCATAGCTAAAATTTCATCTTTTAAGATTTCTCAGTCCAAGCCAAGAGCAAGACTGACAGGAGAAGCTACTCCCGTGTTGTTTAGAACCATTGGGAGATGAGGAGCTCGGGGACCCGCATCTTCACAGACGAGCATGCGCTGGGAACACGACTGACATGTGGGCAACCAGTGAGAATAAGGATGCTGTTCTGCAGTGAGCTAGGAGCTGTGTTCTCCCAGCTAGGAGAAATAACTACACAACAATTCAACACTTGTTCTTCCTGTTACCATCTCCCTCAAACTTCCTTTCTTTTCCTGATTTCATCATAATTGCACTTAATATCTGATTAACAATCTCACCCACCAACACTGTTTCACCTGTTGCTCTTCCCCTCCGTTTGCAAAGAAAACTTCATTACTTAGATCATATGTTGAAGTAAATCTGTTTCTATTTTAAGACTGGAAAATGCTCGACTCCACAGCCATGCTGTCCAATCCATGGAGCTAGAAACTTATTTCCTGGGTTGGAGACATAGCTCAACTGGCAAAAAGTTGCCCACAATGCATGAGGTCCTGGGTTTAAGCTCCAGCTCTACATATAGCCATTATAGTGGTATGTTCCTGTAATCCCAGCACTTAAGAAGAAGACAGGAGGACTAGAAGTTCAAGGCCATCACTGGGTCACATAGCACACTTGAAACCAGTTTGGGATACAAGAGACCTGTCTCAAAAAAAGTAAAAACTACACACACACACACACACACACACACACACACACACACACACACAAATGAAGATTACACCCAACAGTCAGCCCCAGTCAAGGCCAGCTGCCTCCTCAAACCACACAGACAAGGCACGGCCTACCTCACCAGATCCGGAGACCGGATTATCCCCTCCACAATGCTGTCACGTATTTGCTGCCGGTCGTTCTCATGGATATTAAATGGAAATATGGCTTCTCCTGGTGGAGGCTCCCTGTCTGGCCAGTACTGTGTCACCATGTTCTTCAGGTAGATGGCAGCTGAGTTTAAGAGAAGAACAGATGAGCTGGAACCAGGAAGACCACTTCAACTCAATCTCATGGAGCACAAGGGCCGAACAGCCTTCCATGTGGGATACAACGCCCAACAGAGATGGAAAACCTTACAGTGAAAAGGGCCAACATGGGAAGGGCTCAAGAGTGTCACATGGGAGTCAAAGCCGGAGCGTTGCACCAAGCTGGAGGACATCCTTAAATGACACACAAATGACCTGGAAACCATATACCATGTCTTCAGACTGAGCACAAACACAGCGACATCGGGAGATTGTTGTGGAACAATCTTACTGTGCACTGTGAAAATGTGTCACCCGTATTGGTTCAATAAAAAGCTGAGTGGCCAATAGCTAAGGTGGGATTTCCAGGCATAGAGGATGCTGGGAAGAAGAAGGGCGGAGTTGTGAAGAGACGCCAGGGACACAGAGCAGGCAGCATGGCATTAAAGGTAACCAAATGACATAAAAGAACGTAGATTAAAAGATATGGATTATGGTGGCGCACGCCTTTAATCCCAGCACTCGGGAGGCAGAGGCAGGCGGATCTCTGTGAGTTCGAGACCAGCCTGGTCTACAGAGCTAGTTCCAGGACAGCCTCCAAAGCCACAGAGAAACCCTGTCTCGAAAAACCAAAAAAAAAAAAAGAAAAAAGAAAAAAAAAAAAGATATGGATTAGTTTAAGTTATAAGAACTGGTTAGAGGGGGCTGGAGAGATGCTCAGAGGATAAGAGCACTGCCTGCTCTTCCAGAGGTCCTCAGTTCAATTCCCAGCAACCACATGGTGGCTCGGCTCATGACCATCTGTAATGAGATCTGGTGCCCTCTTCTGGCCTGCAGGTATGCAGACATAAGCTGTATAAATAATAAATAAATAAATGTTTAAAAAAAGAATATTTTTTTAAAAAAGAACTAGTTAGAAACAAGCCTGACCTATCAGCCACACTTTCATAATTAATAAGATGTCTCCATGTGACTTGACACTATTGTTGCTAGAATTCAGATACATAAATCTGCTGTCTTAATATAAGTGACCTAAGGTAATGCTTCTGGGATCATAAGAAATTAGACAGATAAATTACCAATATTGGGAAATTAAAATGTAAAACAACAGCATTAGAGAGGCAAGGGACTGATGAATGGCAGCAAAGAGATTAAAATAACAAAACAAACAAACATACAAAAAAAAACCCCTACGGTAAATGTGAGAACTCAGTATCTATTGCTAACTTTCCAAGAGAAAAGGGGAAAAAATTTGTGTGTGTGTGTGTGTGTGTGTGTGTGTGTGTCTGACACAGGATTTCTCTGTGTAGCCCTGGCTGTCCTGAAACTCACCCCATAGACCAGGATAGCCTCAAACTCACAGAGATCTGCCTGCCACTGCCTCCCAAGTACTGGGATTAAAGGCAGTACCACCACTGCCCAGAAAGAAAGTATTTTTATGTCTTAGAAGTATTTCTTTCTAATTTTTCAAGAGATTTTTTATTTATTTCTTAATTATATTTGCATTACCTGAATGTTCCACATATTTAGATAATTAACACAGTACTCTCTCTGAATTTGCCAAATACAAATATTACACTGGATATTACAAATGTGATTCTTACCTGATTAATTGTTCTTATTGTATATAGTTTTAATGTGTTAGAGATAAAACCTTTGCTTTTTATTTAGACAAAAAGAGGGAAGTGTTGTGGAATAACCTTTTTGTACACTATGGAGATGTGTCACTTTGACTGGTCTAATAAAAAGGTGAATGACGGATTTCCAGGCACAGAGGATGCTGGGAAGAAGGGTGGAGTCACAGCCAGACAGAGAGGAAGCAGGATGGGCAGGCAGTAAAGAGTAAAGGTAACCAAGCCACGTAAAACAACATAGATGAAAAGATACGGATTAATTTACGTCATAGAAACAAGCCTAAGCTATCGGTCGAGCTTTCATAATTAGTAATAAGTCTCCACATCATTATAGGGGAGCTGATGGTCCCTGACGAAAAAATCCAACTATGGATAATGAATACTGGTCATACCCATCCACCAGTACATCTCCTTTCAACTCCCCTAGTGACTGATATGATGTCTCCCTCCCATTGACACAGCCTCTTTATTTTATGCTGCTATTATTAGTAGCCCTGAGTCAAATTAGTGATGCCCTATGAGCATGGGTGTGTGGCCATCCACTGAAGCAAACACATATCCCCAAAGGAGAGTGACTCTCTCCTCCAGCAACCATCAACTGCCAGAAACTTTGCCCATAGGTGTGGGGCTTTAGAGGTCATTCCTGGATCTATGCTGGAATTTTAATTGTGGTGATCTTGTACAAGTCTTTTTTTTTTTTAGTTTTTTATTATTAATTAAATTTTTCATTGAACAGGTCTGGGACAGTACATTATAACTATTTAGATCTAAAGCAGAACTCTCATTAACTTGAAAAGGCAACTTACCTGCCTGACGCACTGGGAACTCCACATGGTCGGAGACTATGATCCGAAGCAAGCTGGGGGCAAAATTAATAATCTTGTAGGACTGAAATTACAAAGAAATACTTTGTAAAAACAGGGCATTCTGAATCTACCAGCACCATTACAGAATACATTACTGTCCAAATGAGAGAAAAACCATAAACAATTAAATTCTGAGGTAAAATGAAGATTATGAAAATACTTTCAAGTGGAAAAATTTCTTATAATTAATGAATAAAAATATGAGTACTTTTATGATGTTTGGCATGTATTCCCAAAATGCTCTCTAACCCTGCACAGGAGTGTCCATTCACCTACCACAAGGACCTTTGAAACTTCAAAATCTTATTACTATCGTAAATGGTACTTCCTCTGTTACTCAAGGTCCTTTTTGTTGACCGTTCATTTCTTCTACACATTTCTTCTACCCTTTATCCTTTGAGAGGGGATATTTCATTTTTTATTAATCAACTCTAAGAGCTACTAATGGATTTACAATCTCAGCCTTTTATTTGACCTCTGTGGTAGTCAATATTGATTGTCACAGTGACAGGATCTACATTCACCTCTGAGACAAGCCTCTGGACATATCTGAAGGAAATCTGTAGTGGAGTTCATTGAGACGGGAAGACACTCCTTACACATGGGCTGAATCCACCCATGGGCCAGGGTCACGAACTGAAGAAAAAGAGGCAAGCCAGCTGACACCAGCATTTAGCTCTCTCCGCTTCCTTACTGTGGACTGCAACGTGACCAACTGTTTCAAGTTCTTAACGCCACGCCTTCCCCACCACGGTGGACTACAACCTCAATAAACCCTTCCTCTCTTAAATTGCTTTTATCGGGTATTTTGTCACTAGAAGAAAAGCCACTAACATTACCTACTCACCACAAATGTTTCCTCCCAGATTATCTGGGCTTTAATTTACTTGATATATATATATATTTTTTTTTGACAAACAGAAAACAAAACAAAATGTCATCTTCAGCAAACAGAACCTCAAATGGGGGAAGGGGGGATAGAAAATGTCTTTAAAAATTCCATGTGCTAGAGAGAGGCTGGTCCTAAGAGAGGCAGCAGGGACAGCACAGAAGATGGGCGTTGCCAGGCACGTTGTTCTCAACATCGTGATGCCTCGAGAGGCCATGCTAACACACTTTCCTGTTCAGCCGGCTGCCTGGACCGTTTCATCCATAGGCTGTTTACTCTGATCGGCTCCTGAGACTGGCCATGGGCACAAGCAACATAGAAACCCATTCCTTCTGACTACATTTACACAGATGTCTAGTACTGAACCATCCCACAGCCCTGCACATCCCTGGAACTCTGCTTGACCTGCCCACTGGTACTACCAGAAGTCCCAAAAAAATTCTCAAGGAGAGAAACCGGACCTTGAACACTGCATAGGGTCCATTCAGCTTGACTTAGTCTAAAGCCTATATGGGCAATGTCGCCCTTTTGAGATACAGCTAAGTTAGCAAGCCACGCAATTTTTCCTAAAAAAAAAATCTGTGTGTGTGTGTGTGTGTGTGTGTGTGTGTGTGTGTGTGTGTGTGTGTGTGTTTGAACTTGTGGAGTCTATCCTCTCCTTCCATCGTTATTTGTGTGTTCTAGGGATGAAGCACTGGTCATCAGGCTAGGAAGGCCAAGTACCTTTACACACTAAGTCATCTTGCCAACCCACTCACTATTTTTAATCTATTTTTATGTGTCAGTGCTTTGATTGCATGTATGCCTGTGCACCACATACATATGTGTCTGGCCTCCACAGAAGTCAGAAGAGGAGTCAGATTCCCTGGAACTGGAGTTACAGATGGTTGTGGGCCACCACATGTGGGTATTGGGAACTGAACTCAGGTCCCTCTGGAAGAGCATCCGATGCTCTCTGCTGTTTTTAACAAAATCTCAATCATTCAATTTTACCAGTGAAGACTCAGGAGCCAGATGCTGAGGTGAAAGCCTGCTAGCTCAGAGAAAGCACCCAGCTGACCTTCCTCCTCGGTCCACGTCCCAGGAACCTCTCCCTTCTTCTACGACATCTCAAACTCTTTAAACTGAAAGTCCCTCCCTTCTATTTCCTGTGCGTCCCTCTATCCATCCTCCTGGCTCCCTCTTACTCTGTTTTTTGTTTTGTTTTGTTTTGTTTTTTTGGTTTTACGAGACAGGGTTTCTCTGTATTGTTTTGTAGGCTGTCGGTCCAACCTGGCCTCGAACTCACAGAGATCCGCCTGCCTCTGCCTCCCGAGTGCTGGGATTAAAGGCTTGCGCCCCCACCGCCCGGCTTTTTTTTTCTTAATAATTCTATGTTCACTTTCTGTCAACTGGTTGCTTGCTTCTCCTGATCAATGGCTGATTTTACTCAACCAGAAAGCTCTTGGATTAAAGTGTGAGCTAGGGTTGAGCCACACCACAGCTGGAAACAGGTTTCCCCGATAATTAGCGAAATCTCAGTGTTTCACAGTGTGATCCAATACCCTGCAACAGCTCTTAATTGCTAATCTACCTCTCCAGGCTCCACGTAACTTTTTAAAAGGACTTCTCCAACTGGGTGTGGTGGTTTACACTTTAATCCCAGCACTCATGAGGCAGAGGCAGGTGGATCTCTGTGAGTTCTAGGTCACCCTGGTCTAGAAACAAGTTCCAGGCCAGGGAGGGCCACTCTATCTCAAAATAAATAAATAAATAAATAAATAAATAAGTGAATTCCTTTTCATCCATAAATTGAAACCACTAAAATCTTAAATCAGTTTTTTAAAAGCAGGTGTGAGATACAGGAGGGATGGCATAGTAGTTAAGAGCACCTGGTGCTCTTTCAGAGGACCCAAGCTCAGTCACCAATAACCATATCAGGTGGCTCACAAACACCCCTAATTCCAACATCAGGGTATCCAAGACCCTCTCCTGGCCTCCTCAGACACACACACACACACACACACACACACACACACACACACACACGGTATACACATAAATAAAAATGTTTAAAAGCAGGGGATTAGCCGGGCATTGGTGGCGCACGCCTTTAATCCCAGCACTCGGGAGGCAGAGGCAGGCGGATCTCTGTGAGTTCGAGGCCAGCCTGGTCTACAAAGCGAGTTCCAGGACAGTCTCCAAAACAATACAGAGAAACCCTGTCTCGAAAAACAAAAAAAAAAAAAAAAAAAAAAAAAAAAAAAAAAGCAGGGGATTAGCCAGGTGTTGGTGGAGCACGCCTTTAATTCCAACATTCAGGAGGCAGAGGCAGGCGGATCTCTGTGAGTTTGAGACCAGCCTGGCCTACAAGGATAGGCTCGAAAGCTACACAGAGAAACCCTGTCTGGGGGGCGGCAGGGGCTTTGAAGAGAGAGCATCTGCAGCTCTTTCAGAGGATGCAAGTTCAGTTCCCAGCACCTATGTCAAGCTGCTCACAGGTACCTATAATTCCAGTTACATGGGTTCTAGTGACTCCAGACGCCTGCATATACCCATATACTTACCGACTTTTTTAAATTAATTAATTAATTAAAATGAAATAAAAGGCCCGGCGTTGGTGGTGCACACCTTCAATCCCAGCACTCAGGAGGCAGAGGCAGGTGGATCTCTGTGAGTATGAGACCAGCCTGGTCTACAGAGTGAGTTGCAGGATAGGTTCCAAAGCCACAGAGAAACCCTGCCTCAACCCCTCCCCCCAAAAAAAGAAAGAAACGCACATTTGTTAGCCTGGGCTACATGAGACTCTGTCTCAAACATATGTGGGAACTGGAGAGATGGCTCAGCCATTAACAGTGCTTGCTGTCTTTGCAGAGCCCCTGAGTTCAGGTCCCAGCACCCTCATTAGGTGGTTCATGACTGCCTGTGACTCAAGCTCCAGGAGATCTAATGACTCTGGCCTCTGCAGCCTGCATTCAAGTGTACATACCCACACACAATATTTATGCATATTATTCTTAGTTACATACATGTAATTAATAAATCTTTTTGCTGTGTATGGCAGCACATGCCTTTAATCCCAGCACTTGGAGGCAGAGGTGGGTGGATCTCTTTGACTTTAAATCCAATCCAATTTACATAGCAAGTTCCAGACCAGCCAGAGTTGCACAGTGAGATCTGGTTTCAAAAAAAAAGTCTTTAAAAAAATGTGTTTTTAACAGCAGTTTGTTTGGGTTTTTGTTTTGTTTTGTTTTTTAGTTTTTTCAAGACAGGGTTTCTCTATGTAGCACTGGCTGTCCTGGAACTTGCTCTGTAGACCAGGCTGGTCTCAAACTCACAGAATCAGCCTGCCTCTGCCTCCTGAGTGCTGGGATTAAGAGCATGCGCCACCATGTCTGGCTTAATAGCAGTTTTTATGTGGGAAATATTACTATTGATTTAACACAGTCTTCTACAACTTCAAACATATATACTATAAAAATAATTTAGGTTTACAGCTTTTTAAATAGTGAAAGCTCTTGTAATCAAAAATAAACATCTATACTATAGTTTATTATAGTCATAAAAACTGACTTCAGTTCTTTATAACTCTTATATAGACACAAAATAACCTATGCACTTAGTTCGAATGCTACTTATTAAAACTGTTGCCATTCGACCCATTTCGGAACTCCTGTTTTGCAACTGTTGGCCATTTTAAGGAACTGTTGAAACTTTGACTTCTTTGGTGATTTGGCCTATGCCAACTTGGCAAGCTAAAACATTTAAGGGCAAATGCAGATGCATTCCCAGGCCACTTCCCTTACAATAATACCCCATCATTGTTCCTCTTTGGGCTTCAAGTGTCTAACAAAAAGATGACTAATTTCTCAATGACTTTGTGGGTATATTTGTTTTGTGTCTGTGAAGATTTCTGAAAATAAACTGTTGTGTTTCTTACTTAAATTCTATGTCTTATGAAAACTCATACAATGCCAAGTCTTGAGACCCGGCTGGTGGGCTGGATGAAGCTTTCCTCGACTTGCTGTTCCCTTTGCTCCTGTGCTTGCTGTCTCCTGTGCTGTGCTTCACCTGCCTTTCTTGTTTCAACAACTAGATCTCCCACCCACCCACCCACCCCCATCTATTTATTCCAACACACTTGTAGGCTCTCTGCAGAACTCATAACCTGTCTCCCCCAACCAGCATGTGGTCACACCAATGCCTAGAACACAAACCAGCAGCCAACTCATCATTCGTAACAGCAAACCCCCTTAAAGGGCAAAGAAGATGATGGACAGCTAGGGATGTAGCTTGGTGCATGATTCACATACTGGGCCCAATAAGCACCACCACAAAACGATTATTTAAAAAAAATAATAAAGCAGGGATTCCAGAACTTGGTAATGAAAGTAAATGTTTTAAGGCTGAGAATAAGAGTTCAACGGTAAACTGTTGGTTGACCTAGCATGAGCAAAACCCTGGGTTCAATCCCCTGTACCCCCAAGAGAAATAAAAAGCCAGGCATGGCAGTACACACCTATAACCCCAGCACACAAGGAGGCCGAGACAGGAGGAATAGGCTCCATGGCAAGACACCATCTCAAAGAGATGGGGGAGGGGAGAGGAGGGGGAAGAACAGGAGTAAATACACAAGAAAAAAAATGGATGGGGTGTGGGGTGTGTGTGTGTGTGTGTGTGTGTGTGTGTGTCTCGGTTAGCAGAGTGCTTGCCTAGCAGCACAGAGCCCTGAGCCCCAGAGTCAGCACCACACCAACCACGCACAGGTGTGCAGCTCTCAGGAGGTGGAGACAGGAGGATTCTCCAGGTGAGACAGCCTGGGCTACATGAGACCCTTCCAGGAGGGAAACTGTAAAAGAGCTAAGCTCTAATCTCTTACAGCAGATGCTTACCCATTCATGCAGCCAGACTAAGGGACAAGCATGCAAACCCCAATACCAAAATCGCACCTTATTAATGATAGAATAGCATCGTATCTAAGTTTTCCTACTTCAAGTACAAAAACTTATTGAACGTGCAATACAGTCCAAAACACTGAACAAGATATACCTGCTAAATGAATGACGCAGCAATGCTACCTTGTTGTTTTGGATGGATTTTTGTGGCGCTAGGCTTGAGCCTAGGGCCTCACACGTTAAACCATAAGTAACAAAGAAAATGGTCTCTGGTGAGATGAATAGAGAGGGAGCAGGGAAGAGTAAAGACAGAATTTGGATTAAAACACTATGAAGAAAGCATGAGATTGAACCTCGCCTGGTTCTGAAGGCTTCAAGCCTTTCCTGCTTCCAGATACAAACTGCACCCACGTGATGACAAATCAGAAGAAAGAATGGTTTGGTTTGGCTATGGGCAGAAAGAATAACACGGCATCAAAGTTCTGTTCCCTATTATCACTATCAAAGGGACATCTTGCAACGTGGTGAGAGCAGTGTCAAATAGGAAGCCTTCCCTGTATACACCAGCAGGTTTTCAAGTCCAGCCCTCATGGCATTCTTAGTAATTAAATCCTAATGACTGTTACTCCAGACAGTGCTCTACAAAGTCTGGGACGGGCACTGACTCTAAGTGTCTCTTGCTCTAGGGTGACAGTCCTTTTCTTTTTGAAACATCAAAGCATCCTTTTTCGGCCTTTCATTCAACATAACTTTGTGTGTGTTAGAGTTACAGGCTTGAGCAGGGCTGGAAATCAAATAGGGCCTCAAGAATTCTTGGTTGAACACTCTACAGCAGAGCCCAATAAACAAGGGCTCAATTCCCCTTGTTATCTCTTGGGGATCCTGGATTCACATGTACCTCAAACTCCACACAGATTTTCAGTTAATATTATCTCTTTCAAAGATTCAAAACCTACCTGCTTTTAAAAAGTCAACTAGGTGAGACACTGGCCAAGAAGCACCCTTATACTTTAGGAGGTACAGAATCGCTTTGGGGAGCCAGTTAAAATACAAACTTGCTCCCACTCCCAGCTTTTCAGATTCTTGATATTAGGGGATGAAGCCCTATGCCCAATAGTTCCCAGAGAAGCAGAGGCTGGTCCTGGCAACCCCTTAATATCCACTAATTAAGTAACATCCCTTCACACTTGTAGCAACTTCAAACAATTGCCAAGCCATGCAGGGAGATTCTAATTTGTACTTTCTAGCAAGGGGCTCATGGTCCCTCTTAAATGTGCAGAAGCAGAGCTTACGATTATTACAATCTTGAAATGCTGGGCCAGATGTAGTAGTAGCACACACTTTAATCCCAGAAGTCTAGAGACAGAGAGGCAGAAGCAGCAGGCGGATCTCTGAGTTCCAGGCCAGCCTTTTTAACACGCTGAGTTTCCAGGCTGACCACAACTGCATAGTGAGACCCCCACCTCAGAAAAAGACAAAAAGGAGGAAGGAGAGAAGAATGGGGACCAAAAAAAAAAGGACAGAAAATATTGGGAGTAACACTGGAACAACGTCAAGACTGCTTAGAAGAATGGAGAGAGGTTAAGGGGAAAGTCTCACACATTTGAGCATTGGGAAGAAATGCCTCAGATATGTATTGGTGGACCGGTGTTTGAAAAGGTACATGGTACATGGAAACCGCGTGCTCTTCCTAGAACCCTCTCTGACAGCACTGGCCAGCGCTCCGGCAAAAACTCTGCTACGATCCACACAACCAGAAGCAGGGGAGAGGCAGGGTTTATTTCCAACAGCAACACCTGAAAAGGGCGGGTCCGGAGGAAAAGCTAGCTCAGCTTTGGTGAATTTTCCCACCGCGTCCCCGCGTAAGCGCGCTACGGAAAAGAAATCACACCCAAAGCACATTGGCAAAGGCTCCCGGGCTTCTTTTGTACTGTCCAAGTGGGGTGGGCAAGTGCACCAAGAAAGGACCGGACGGCCAACAGGTGCTCCAGCGGCTCCGCAGGGGTCCGAGTCTCAGGCTGGGGTGGGTGGAGGGAGAGAGGGAAAGAGAGGAGGAGGAAGACCAGGAGGGCCCGCTGCTCACCTGGTTAAGCTCCGTCTCGGCCGCAATCCTCAGCTTCGGGTCTATGGTGCCCTTCAGCGCCTGGATGATCCGGTTGAGGTCCATGTCCCAGGGCGGGGACTCCGGCCCCAGGACCAGCAGGCCGGGTTGCAGTCGGGGTGTCTCCTGGACCCTTTGGGCCCTGTCCGCCTACCTCACCCCCAACCCCGGCCGCCCACGCCGCCGCCTGCAGCTACTTGCTGCGCCACTCTGACTCCGCGCCCACCGTCCTCCCTCCTTCCCCCCCACAGCTCTCTCTCCATTCACCCTTTACGACAGCCGGTGGGAGGCGGGAGAAGAGGAAGCGGCGACTGCTTTACGACAGCTTCTTCCCCCTGGCGAGCAGAGCGCGGACCGGCTCCTGCGGGGGGCGCCATGATGCTGTACGGAAAACGCTCCCGGCTTGCAGTCGGCCTTGCAGAGCGCTACTGCTCCTGCAGGAAGTTGTCAGGGTTTGGTGGGAAAGGAGCTCTGATTTGTTTCACCCGCTGAACTCCTGCAGATGGCCGCCTTGACGCTGTACGGAAACCCGAGCCCTGTCCACCAGTGGAGCCAATTAAGTTAGTTGGCACGGCATCTACTTAGAGTTGCTGCAAATTAGGCGTGTGTAAACGGAATGGTACCTTCTGTCCATTGGGCATAACAATTGAGCTTTTCCAAGACAAACTTGCTGGGACCTTGAAATCTTGTAGCCTACAGAAGGGGATGCCTTCAGTGTTTGAGAACCACCCTTTATCTTGCCATTCACTCTTGGAACATGTTTTAAAAATGTGTTTTCAAGCAGAATACTGTTAAGTTTTAGATATCATATAACAAGATGAAATTCAATACAAGTTTGTACGAAAGGACAATCAAGTATACATATATATTCTTAGAGTGTAAAAACACAGTGGCAAGAAAAAGTATATGACTAAGAATGCCAAAAATGTCCAGATTTTCATGGTGAAAGGCAAGAAGGGTTTACACTGTTTCCATCCACAACTGCAAGGCACAGAAATATCAGCAAAATTTTCCTCTGGTGAACCCAAAAGCGGATTCTAAACACACACAGTAAAGATGACTGTGGGTAAATGCTGCTGAGGGGTTGTGATCCTTGCCAGGAGCATATAATCAAGATATATTGGTTCAGTTAACTGGGTTTTTAAGAAGATAGAGAAAAAAAAAAGTGGTGGCTCATGCCTTTAATCCCAGCACTCGGGAGGCAGAGACAGGCGGATCTCTATGAGCTCGAGGCCAGCCTGGACTACAGAGTGAGTTCCAGAACAGCCAAAGCTTCACCAAGATACCCTGTCCTGAAAAAAAAAAAAAAGTTTAAAAATGAGACAGAATGTTGCTGTGAAGGGTACCTCCAGCCTTGCCCATTTCAGTCCTTAATGTACACAGTCATCAGAGTAAAAACTGTATTACTGTATTTTCACTTTGAAACCGTGCATTTCATGCCCCCACCACTAACTTCCTTTCCTTGTGAAATCTTAACTCTAAGAGATGCTCCTCCCTGTGTTTTGATACAAGATCTCTCTTCATAGCCTAGGCTGGTCTCGAAATTGAGGTTTCAGTCTTTCCAGTACTGCTTTGAGTCTCATGAGTCTCACTTCAATGTGCTCCTTTCTACCCATTCTGTCTTCCCCTTAACAATTCCACACTTGTTCTCCAACTCACTTATTCCTTAGTTCTGGAGCCGTTTTTCCCCCAGACTATACATCCTTCTCTGCTTTTTTTTTGTCTCCCAGTTACTCAAACCTACCCTTGACCCACGGTGCTCATTGACACCATGCTGTGTCTGAAGGAAAGAGCACCTGGTCTGAGGTGCTGCTTTTTCTCCACATCCAGTGATCAATCCTGTTCCTAGTCTTTAACCAGCGCTACCCTGCATTCCTTCAGCTATCCTGGGCCACAACAATGTTCGCAGGTACCCGACTTCATCTTACAATTTGTAGTCAAGACTCTTTCCTCGGGCTCATCGGCTCCCCAATAATGACACAGAGACTTATTATTAATTATGAAGGCTTGGCCCATAACTTAGGCTTGTTTGCAACTGGATCTTATAAGTTAAATTAACCCATACCTTTTAATCTCCTTTTTTTTTTTTAAGAGAGCTTGGGTGGTTTTATTAAAGGCAGGCTTTTCTGGTTTACTACTTCTCACCAGTCTGTTCTGGCATACTTCTAATAATATCAGGGTCACCTGGGTCAATGATAGCTAGTGTGCATACTCTGTAGTATTTCCCACACGCTGTGCCCAGTCCGATGTTATTGCTACTGTACTGATGGGCACCGGTTTTAGCCAACATGGCATAGTATTCTATTTCAGATTTCCTCAAGGCGGGGCAGTTGTTGGCGAGAATAGCCAGCTTGGCTTTGCCCTGCCGGATCATCTTGAGCGTCTGCTTGTAGCCCAGCACGTGCTTGCCGCTCTTCATCACCAGCTGGAGCCACGAGTTGATGGACTCCAGGGACTTCTTCGTCTTCTTTGTGGCCACCATTTTTCCTGCCTCCGGTGCGGGGCGGGCCCCCAAACCAAGCGCCGCCGCCAAGAAGGCCGGGCAGCTAGAAAGGAACTAATCTCCTTTCTTTTAAATGGCCCGGTGAACTTTACTCTGTATTGCGCATACTGCTTCCTCTGTGTCTCCTGGCATCTCTGCCCTTCTTCTTCCCAGTGTCCTCTGTGCCTGGAAATCCTGCCTAGCTATTAGTCGTTCAGCTTTTTATTAAACCAATCAGAGTGACACATCTTCACAGTATAGAGAAAGATTATTCCACAACAGCAGAGGAGAGAGGGAAATTTTCCAGGGACATCAATTGAGGAGAAAGGCCAGCTGGGTGCTTTCTCTGCCTCTCTGAGCCAGCAAGCTTTCACCCCGGCGTCTGGCTCCCAAGTCTTTATTGTTAGTAAAATCAAATAATTGAAAGCTTTCAAGGAGAGAGTTTGTAGGGAGAGGTCTCACGGACCTGCAGTACTGACCACGCCCGTTTGGGCATGGTCACAGGTAAGTGGGAGAAACCAGGGATAAACGAGGAGACAAGAGGGGACCGGCTCTCTTGGGTTCTGGTTGAGGTTCAGAGACCATAAAGCGCTAACCCCAGTTCTCAGCTTCTCCTATAAGTTACCTCTCTATATATGAATAAATATCCTACTACCTTCTCCTGGCATCCTTGTGTGACTCGTCTCCATTATCAAGAGTTCAGTAATATTACAAGGAAAAACCTTTCCCATGCTAAAGATGGTAATTATCATAATACAGGGAGTTAGGACTACTGCTGCTTTAAATGGCCTAAAAATAGAAGCAGAAAACAAGATAAGTGACCTAACTGAGATTGACATATCAGTTGTTTTTATAATTTAAAAATGGTGAGAAGGGCCAGGCCTTTAATCCCAGCACTCGGGAGGCAGAGGCAGGCAGATCTCTGTGAGTTCGAGGCCAGGTTGGATCGACAGCCTACAAAACAATACAGAGAAACCCTGTCTCATAAAAACCAAAAAAAAAAAAAATGGTGAGAAGGAACACCATAGAAGAGAGCTCTCGGGTAGGGTAGGAGGCTTATTTATTAAGGGAGAAAGGAGAGAATTGGAAGAGGTGCAGAGGCCTGCCTGCCTGCCTCTTGGAGCCTGCCTCTTGGAGAGAGGGAATGTGGGCAGAGCTTGTTGCTTAAAGGGGGTGTGGCTCGTGCCCACAAAGACCAGGTAGCCACATAGCAGAAGACATTGTCAGGACCCTGAGCAGGCCGACATAACTGCCTGAGTACTGACCAGCGCATGTGTACAGGGATGATGTATCTTGCCAGGTCCCCAAGGGCAGGCCAGTGCAGGTGCCTGAAAGCTAACAATTATAATTACTATCACTCAGGTAATTCATATTTTATCCTTAAAAACCATAGTGGGTTTTTTGTGCCAATTATGAAAAGTGAATTGATAACATACAAGCCTTAGGAAGGTTTATAAGTGAAAATAAGAAAATCACTCTGATACAGACAGGAATTTAGACAAGTGTAATGTGAGACTTTGTCCATCTTGGTCCCATTGGACTGGTGACTGGTTTCTCTCCACCCACGGGGTACCCACATCTGCTTAAGGAAATAATCACTCAGAGATTTAATATAAATTTATGAATGTTTGGCCAATGACTTAGGCTTCTTATTTCTATTAATCTGTGTATCTCCACGTGGCTGTGGTTACCCAGGTGACCCCCTAGAATCCTGCCTCCCTGGCAGCTACTCTCTGGCGTCTGCTCTCTGGCATCCTTCTCCCTGCCTCTTTGTTCGGAATTCCCATCCTCAATAAATTTTGCCTCTTAATTGGACAAAACAGATTTATTCATCAACCAATAAGAGAAACATACAGAAGGAAATCCCCCATCAGACAAGAACCTACCATGCCATTGCATAATGAAACTGAAGAGGGATGGGCCCAGGTTCCAAGGAAACCAATATTAGTTTATCTGGTTACTATACCAGAACTACCAGGAGATGATAGGCACCTGCAAGGTTATCAAGAAGTTAAATGGAGCCAGGTGGTGGTGGAGCACACCTTTATTCCTAGCACTCAGGAGGCAGAGGCAGGCAGGTGGAACTGTGAGTTTATGGCCAACCTGGTCTACAGAGTGAGTTCCAGGACAGCCAAGGCTACGCAGAGAAACCATGTCTCAAGAAGAAGGAGGAGGAGGAGGAGGAGGAGGAGGAGGAGGAGGAGGAGGAGGAGGAGGAGGAGGAGGAGGAGGAGGAGGAGGAACAGGAAGAGAAGAAGTTGTTAAGGGAATCCTATTAGATTTGACATTTAAAGAAGTGGTCATTTCACATTGTATACATTCAACCTATATGAAGCAGAGATTAAATTCATGGACAACTAAGAACTAAATTATGTCTGAACACTGGAAAGATTTAGCAACAGCAATATTGGAAGCTGCTCCTCAGTTACAATGGTGAATATGGTGGAGAGAGGAAGCTGGGGTTATAGAATAGTGAAATAGGGCTTGAAGTATTAATATTTCCCAATATAAATTCCTAGGTAAAGATCAATATGCTGAGTTACAAAGGCAGCTTGAATTTGATGACCAGACCTTGGCACTATGTTGTTTTACCAGCTTTAAATGCTTGGGACAAGATTGAAGAATCAAGAAAGAGGTCTGAGTCATTTACTAAAACTATACCAGGCCCAAAAGAAGCCTCCACTGATTTTTTTTTTGCAAAGTCTAACTTCAGTTGTAAATAGAATAGTATCAGATCCAGAAGTCAAATATTAAC